GCTACATATGATTTTCTATCTCCAGATGTTTTTTATCCTGAACTGTTTCTGCCTCCTGCTCAGTGCATCTCAACACTAATTCCTTGCTTCCACATCTGTAAGCGTGATGTGATTTGCATGATTAGGACATGCACACGTTCTTTTCACACAATAAATCAAGTTAAATGAAGGTTTCCGTGTGCACACATAATGTCAGCTAAATTGTTGCACTGGTATTCATCAAGGTCAGATCAGTAACCTGCCGTCTCTCACTCCTTCTTTACTCTTGGTTGTGTGTTTGTCCCTCATATTTGATAAATGAGGTTGAATTTTTTTCTCCAGTTCAGCCTGTGGTCAAATATTTTTGCTCCAAACAGATGAGTCACAAAGATCTAATGAACAAGTGAATGTAGAAATAATAAAGTGATTATAAACCCTTTTTAAAGACAATGCTGTACTGTTTTGCTCTACAGGTTTGATTGCCACAGTGCATGAAATTAAAGTGTACATGAGATGGTAGTGTTGTTTATAACTACATATCTCTGTCATTTATGGAAAAGCTGAACTAAAATAAGAAAGTAAACGACAAGCCGAGGCCTCAGAGGAAGATGGTTTGTTTTCAGGTATGAAATGGAAGCAGGAAGGGAGCGATGATGATGTGAGGGTTCGTTTTGGTTACAGAGCAAACTGTCCTGAAACCTGAAACATGTTTTCATTTTTATCTGAGCAAAAAAAATAAACATGAAAACAAATGACTCCAGCATCATTATCACTCCGCTGGCTTCCTGTCTGCTTCCTAAAGACTCATTCAGATTCAGGTGGTGGATTTTAAATTATAAATATTATTTAACTCATTCTTTTCACTCAACAGAAGAAGATTTTTTTTTCTTTAAATAGAGAGATCTAGATTAAATACACACTGCATACTGAAATTTTTTTAAATTCTGCTTAGGGTTGAGCTAATTCTCCGTGTTATTTTTCCATAAAGTTTAGCTTTTCTTCTGTTTCGCAGTTCCGATTGGCTACTTCAATCATGGTTAATCTATAAAGCAAAATTCATATTTTGTACCTCCATGTTAGTCTCTGCTGCTTCTGAAAACCTACCGAGCATTCACAGTTAACTACACAGCTGTTTGTGGCAATAAGCTCATGTTTTCTTGTGCCTGGAAAAGTAGCCATTCCAAAAATAATCCGCTTTCCGTCGGTACCGAGCAACCCCAGCCGAGCCCAGTGTGTCACCTAGCAACCTGAGCTGAGCTCCAGCATAAGTGGTCAGCAGCTTATTAGGATTTAAAGTGACAAGAGACCCTAAAAGGAGCTCAAAATATGCAAAACTGAGCAGATTAAACTCATAATCTGATGTTGTGGGAAAAAAAATAGTAAAGATGTTTACTGTAGCCCATAGACTCATTTTAACCTGTTCAAGCGTAAAGTAAATCTGCTGTATAGATACATTCAGTGAAAGAAAACAAATAGAGAGTGTTTCTAAAGGGATCAGCAACTTCCTGCTGTTGGTCATGCTGGTGTGACCAACAGATCAAGATGGCTGGTTGGTCTGTCTCTCACAGAGCAGATGAAAGACAGACTGATGAAGAGGAGACGGCGAGGTGAAGATGTACATGGTGACAGATGAGCATCAGAAGAGGTGCAGGTCAGATGACAAGAAAAAAGGAACAGTAATAAGAAAACACAGCAGGAAGCTGGTAGCTGTCATCTATCCACCACTGAACAGAAAGGTTCAGCCAAAATGGCTTCTTAAATCCTCCTCATCAAACTCTAAAGAAAAACACACAAGTTCTTTTTTTAACTTTTAAGTCATTGGTAGTGTGTTTAACTAAAACTAAAAATGTTTAATGTAAAAATATAAATAACATTTCCACATGTAATGATGACATAACCTGTATAATTATGTTGGAATATGTTAGAATAAAACTACCTGGTTAAAATAATAAGAAAAACTAACTGAATGTTGTTTAGAAGCACGTTTGGAGTCAATTTCTGAACATGAACAACAAAGAAATAATTAAAAATCAATCTAAACCAAATTAACAATTACGGTTCATTAAAAAACAAAAATCTTGATTTCAGCCAAATAAATACAACAACACACATTTATGAGGTTACAGCTTTGTAGATCTAAGTGAAAACAGAAACCTGGTTTGATGGAATACTAATCTTGAAAAATATATAATCTAGATCATGTTTGTTTAAATTAATGAACTAAATGAATGAGGCCATTGAATGACAAGCAGTGGCATTCCCCACAGCATCTCAATGCTGATTAGCTGTGATTAAATCTAATTAATTGATTGGTTTCTACTCAAACGGGGCCATTTCCTCTGTCAGCTCTTACACACTGATTTGAAGAAAGTATATCTGCAGCCTTTCCTCACATCATTGATGTGTATCAGGGCATCTGTGCGATATGAGCCGCTGTGTTTTTAAAAACGGTCAATCTGCTTATCTACATCTGCAGGTAGCTTATGGACATCCTCTCTGTGATCAGTCAGCTGGGGATTATAGTGAAAAAATGCTGATTACAAACGCAGCAAAGAGTGAGTCTGTCATCACCGAGCTTTCTATGAAACTCAGTAAATCAGACACTTGTCTTTCGGAGTCAGTCCACTAAAAACCCGATGATGCCTGAAGGAACATCTGACCGTTTCACATCCTGTAGTTTATGTGTTCTCCCATCAAAAAGAAGCAAAAACGTGCAAAATGTGATTTTTCCATAATTGCTGCCCATTAAAACACAATATAAACAGCAAATAATGTCAAAACACCAAAGAAAATCTCAACCTAAGGTAAAAAAGAAGGAAAAAACTAAAGTTATTTTAATCTTAATCAACATTTTTTTAAAAGATCAGTTGATTGGTTTCACTGGGGTTGTAGGTAACCGGGTTCTCAGGGGATTGCTGAGTAACAGCGGTTACTAAACATTTATATCTGAAAGGTTTTGGAAAAAAATACCTAATTTTCCAGATACAAAAACATTGACTTCCTGTTGAAAAGCTACACTGTTTTTTTAAGCACTTGAGATGTTTTTTTTAGAAACATTTGTGTCCCAAATGGAAGTAAAAAATTTGGAAATGATTAATTTTCAATAATAGATCCACTTTAAAAGTACATCCAAAAACATCAACGTGTGAAAGCACATAAAAACATTTGCAAGCTGTGTAAATGTGCTTGTTTGTCTATAAAATTCTCCTTGTAGGGAAATTCCAGCTGCTCTCACGCTCTGGAGATGCTGCAGGTCCGGACACGCACTGGGGGCCGGATGAGAACAGAGGATGAATGCTGCTGTCCTGACTAATTTTCTTTCTAATCTATATTTGTAATGATTCCCATTGAACCCTTTAGTTAAACTTTAAGACCTGAGCATCATAAAAGCAGCTCAGATGAGCTACATATTGTCAAAGTTCCTGGTGAGATCTTTACATTTGAAACAGGTGCAGCCAGACAAAGATGGCAGCACATTAATCTACGTTAAACCAATCATCAACACTCCTACTTTACTAATAAAAGAACATTTTTGTCCACAGCAACACAGTGATTTCTTTTTGAAGAAGGAGGCGTGTTGGGAGCAAATCACACTGTCTTTTTACTCACAGTCGACCTTCTGAAAGCTGCTTGAACTCATTTACAACACACACACGCACACGCACACACACACAATCATTTGTGAGTGGCTGAAATTGCACTCAAGCTTATCACTTTAGATGCAAATAACTCTGTCCAGGTTTCTGTTGACGTTTTGTTTGGCATGACAGGGAACACCAAGATAAGACACCTGCTTAATACGAGCTATTCAGAAAGACGATTGACAAATAAAATAAATAAAATGTCAAAGAGTGGGTAATGTTTGTGCAGCTGAAATAAATCATTTGTGAGTTTAAATGCAGTTTTCAGTAAATTGTCTACTTTATTTTTTGATTCTTGGGTTCTGTTTCTTCATGTTGTGCAACCTGGCATTGATCCTACAAGTGAAAATCTTTGTTAGTTTTCCTCAGAATTAAGTTTTTAAATCTGCTTAATACTTGCAGGGTTAAATGCAAATGAAACATGCATATTAAGTCATTCACATTATGCTAATGAGCTGAAATTCATTAGCATAAGGAGAAAGATCAAGTACTTAAAGTTAAACCAGTGCAGGAGGCAGCGTCATGATGGAGGAGCTTTTTTCTTTAACAGAGCAGTGAATCCTCAGGTTGTTCTGTTCCAGGAGAGAAACATCCGTCTCTTGAACCACCTGCTTGTTCTGCAGATCTATATCTCTTTGAAAACATTTGGCCAAGGAAGTTTTTTTAAGAAATGGATGTTGGTACCGGAAGATGAAGCTGCTGGTTCTCATGCTGATATTTGAAGATTTCCAATGTTTCGCAAAATGCTCAAATGTTCAGTCTGATATCACAGTGTCTGATGAATCCATAGAACACTTTTCAAATGGAATTAGTTTGTTTTCAATTTAAATTAATTTTACATTCATTGTTGATTGTTGACAATATTTTCAGGCACAGAAACACAAACTATAAATTAATAATTGATGATTTCGTCTGGGTTTGTCTTCATATCAGAAGCAGGGAGATGGAAATAAGCAGCAGTGCTGAGAAAAGACAGTGGAGTGGAAGAGACAGAGAGCATTGTTTGTCTTTTTCACGTTTTTTACTATTGAAGTTCAAGTTTGTGGCCACCCCAAAAAAATCTAGTTCAAGATTTTTTTTTTTTTTTTTTTTTTTTAGAGAAATTGTTGTCTCAGATTCCTGTGGAAATGACTCCCTCAGAGCTCGTCTGCTCAGAAATGAGCGCCATGACCTTTTGGATTACGGAGGCGGAGAATGACCCCGTTTTGTTTCCGGGACCTGCGCCTGGGGGAGGAGCGAGCCGTGAGGTGAGCTCCAGTCATTAAGAGTGAAAGGGATGAAACACTCAAGTGTCTGCGATGCGAAAACGAGCAGAAGGAGGTCAGGTGACAAAGCTGCATGATAATGAAATACAGAACCGTCTGAGCGATGGGAAGCGACATCCTTACTATCTCACCTGTCTGCTTAGGTCCTAATCAAAGTCCCGACTGCTTTTAGTGGTTTTCGTGGTGAAAAAAAAAAATGAAAATCTTCCTGCTTGGCTGTGTTTTTATCTTCGCGATGCTGCAGCGGAGCGTCAAGCAGACGGCTGCATCACCGGACACAGGTGAGTGTCCGAAACTGGAGATTAAAAAAAAAAAAAAAACTGAGATGGAAAAGCAAACTTGTGATGATGCGACCGGATGGCCTGCAGAGAGCACACTGCATAAATATCCAGTGGAAAAGTGGCTCTCTTTCCTGTTACTGTGCAGAATTAAAAAAAAAAAAAAAACGGGGTAATTTTCAGCGCAGCTTTGGCTGAAAGGGAGAGAAGCAATCTCATCCCTCCAGCCTGTAAAGGAAGATATAGAGGGGAATAGAGCAGATGTGTTAGAATGGCCTAGTCAAAGCCCAAACCTAGTTCCATAAGAGAAAGTCTCATTTCACAATTATGGGTTGCTTGATTTTGGTTCATAACAGAAAGGAGTTTGTGGCTGGAGTGTGACAAGATGTGAAGAAAGTGCAAAAGTTTTCTATAAATCCTAAATATTAAAAGTTTACTATACTGGTAAACTCAGTTAGAAGAGAATATAAAATGTTTCTCAGCTTCGCTAAACAAGATAAAGTTTAAAAACTTGGAAGGGAAGAGTTCAACGTTCTCTGAGCAAGTAAAATATTTAAAGGCTGAAAACAAGCCTCCACTGAGCTTTGCATGCAACGCTGGTTAAAAACCAGCAAAGGAAACAACATTTCATCACAATCTGATTTGGGCAAGTTTTTACTTGGACCGTGCTGAGTCAGAACTCTAATGTTGTACTTCACTTCATAAGTGCTAAACGGGCATTTAATTAAGGAGTGCACTTTTTGATCTAATCAGTGAAATTATCTGTAATAATTATAATTATTAGATCTCACTACAGGGTATCTCTGATGGAGAACATATTTAAAGTACTGCAAGCTAAACTGTTCTTTTCAGTCACATTGTAGACCTAAAAATCCTCGCTGGTTTTTCATCATTATTGTTGATTATATCTCTTTTAAATATTAGGATTTTGTAGTATAAATAAGTATCAATCAAAGCTCAGACAGATCAAGGCAGATGTATAGATGCTATTTAAAGGAGCAGTATCATGATAAGTTGACATTTTTTAGCTTTACGTCATGTTATAATGTGATTCCCTCATCAAAAACATACCTGGAGGGTCACCATGATTCATGCATGCTTGAGAAATCCTGTAATCTCCATGACAGCCATTCACCTGTGCAAAACGTCTGATTGGACTTGGCACTGCCTTCAAGACAAAGCTCCTCCTTAGTTTCCAAGCTTCTGAGCTTCCCTTCACTCCTTCAGACTAGCCGGCAGCAATTAGCACATCTGCTGAGCTCATTACAGGAGCTACTTCTCAGTGCAACACTGGTAAAAAATAAAGCTAAATTAAAGAGCAGGAGTTTTTAAAGTGACAGAGGCCCAATTTCAAGGCGTTGAGTCATATTTGACATAGATAATATTTTTATAACAACTGAAGGAAATATGGTTACTTCATTGTGTTATAAAATGCCACCATGTTCCTGGAAAGCAGATCACTGTGCCTTTAAACCATAAACTGTGATTGAAAGCAGACCAGAGGGCCAACTCATCTGCTTGTAATGAACTGGACAAAAAGTTACTTCCATATAGGAACAGAGTTTTCTTCAGCTGTAAAAAAAAAAACAACTAAAACTTAATAAAATATGTTCCCACTGAAGATATGAGAGTCAAAGTGTTTCTCTAGCTGTGGCTTGGTTATAGTTAAAAGTATTTGCATTATTAAACTTGAAAACATTTGGAATTTTTAGAATGAAACAACTGAACCACTGCTTTCTCCTTTGACCTTTGCAGATAGTATGTTGTGTTTTTATATCTACATATTGACCTAAAAGTAAGTGACTGCTGTATTTTTGTTTTTGACCAGGCCAGGATTGTTTCAACACAGTCTGGTTATTTCTGTCCAATCAACAAGGCTGCAAGTCTGCAGAAAAAAATATATTGTGATGCAAATCTGCTAGATATCAGTGTTAATAGAAGTGGAGGGAGGCACGTTTACTCCTAGAGATATTATATTTCATTTACATATAAAACTGTGATGGGTTTGGAAAGTTTCAGCTTGAAAGTAGCTTGTCTCTGAACCTTACATTTCTTCCACGGGAAATTAATAGACTATATTATGAATTTGTGCTTTCTTACCTTCTGTAAAGTGAGAAGTTGGAGGTGAAGTTAATCTAAGTCGGACAGGATGGTTTAGCATCTGTGTGTTGATCTGAGTGCATTTTGAATGGATGCTCTGTGAACTTCACAGGATCATTAACATATTTTTCATTCATCTTTGCTGCTGTCCTCTGTGCCAGATGGCCCTGGCATCAGATGAGGACGGTTCTCTGGCAGACGACATCCTCACATCGCTCAAACATGAACTCATCCACCTGAACATTTCTGCAGAGGAATGTAGAGAGCTGAAAATTCCTCATTCGCACACTAAGCTGCATTGTAGCATGACCTGCCAGGAGCCGACTTACAGAAATCAGGCTCATTGATTATCAAAATACAATCAGTTTCAGTAATAAAGTTAATTGAATCAGATGCAGAAATGAAACATGTTCTGAAGGCTTTGAAATCCTTTAAAGAAGACAAGAAGATTTATTCCAGTGTTTGAATATTCCTCAAAATGAGTAAGCATAAAATACATTTACTAAAGATAATGGGTAGGCATGTTACCTGTGATAACAAAGCTCACCTGCCTACCTAAAGCTGTAAAAAATAATTTTAGCTGGTCTATTGGATGATTTGATTCGGTTTGAAACATACAACATCATGACATCATCACATGGGATTTAAAAATTCACTAAAATGTCCTGTTTATAAATGGGATCTGACTACATTTCACTTAAAATAAGTAAATATACGAGTTGGTGTAAAGCATAGCAGATCTCTGCACAAAGTCATTTAGGCTATACTGCTGTAGATTTGAAGACAGTGTATGTAAACATCTGGTTTCAACTGTATGAGTCTGAATTGATTTGATAAAATGGACTAAATACAACAAAATATGACTTTTACAAAGAAAATGACTTTTAAATGCTGGGCTGAGACAGGGAAATCTGGATGTGTGTTAAAACCTCACAAAACGTATTTGCTGCATTAACATCCCTGCCAGGCATTTCTCCCCCTTGATATTTAACTTGTTTCCCTCCACTTTTATGTGATAAATTGACTTTTCTAATCAAATCCCTCGCTTTCTCATTACAGTAGAGTAAAATTTTGCTCATAGCAACATTAAATTCAAATTAACTCCAGTATTTTCTGGTGTGTTAATAATCGTGGCTGATATTCCTGTTGATGCATCTCATTGTTGTGTGAATCCCTCCTTAGGGATCGTAACTGCACCTCTGAAAGTTATAAGATCAGCCATTATTCTGTGCTAAATCTGTTCAGTTTTTTATGTTTTTACATATATATATATATATATATATATATATATATATATATATATATATATATATATATATATATATATATATTATATATATATATATATATATATATATATATATATATATAAATCCCTTCTCACCCACCGCGGGTGGTTCTTATCCTCTGAGCTCGGGTCCTCTACCAGAGGCCTGGGAGCTTGAGGGTTCTGCAGTATCTTGGCTGTGCCAAGGACTGCACATTTCTGGACTGAGATGTCTGATGTTGTTCCTGGGATCTGTTGTAGCCACTGCTCCAGTTTGGGGGTTACTGCCCCGAGGGCCCCGATGACCACAGGCACCACTGTGGTCTTCACCTTCCAGGCCCTCTCCAGTTCTTCCCTGAGGCCCTGGTATTTCTCCAGTTTCTCATGCTCCTTTTTCCTGACGTTGCAATCACTTGGTATTGCTACATCTACCACAACGGCTTTCCTCTGATGTTTATCCACTACGACAATGTCTGGTTGGTTCGCCATTACCATTTTGTCTGTCTGGATCTGGAAGTCCCACAGGATCTTAGCTCTGGCGTTCTCCACCACCCTTTGGGGGTGTTTCCCACTTTGATCTCGGGGTTTCCAGTCCATATTCTGCACAGATGTTTCTGTACACTATGCCTGCCACTTGGTTATGTCGCTCCATGTACGCTTTCCCTGCCAGTATCTTGCACCCTGCTGTGATGTGCTGGACTGTCCCAGGGGCCTCCTTGCACAACCTACACCTTGGGTCTTGTCTGGTGTGGTAGATCTGGGCCTCTATTGCTCTCTCTCTCTCTCTCTCTCTCTCTCTCTCTCTCTCTCTCTTTTATATATATATATATATATATATATATATATATATATATATATATATATATATATATATATATATATATATTGTAGTGATACTGAAACTGATATTCTTTATACTTTTAGACACATTGAAAGCTAGTAGTATTTTGATTCAAACTAAAATAACTATTGGAAAAATTATCCTAATCTTGATTCAGTCATCTTCTGACTTGGCTTGCAGTAAGTTTCATTCATCTTGGAAAAATACATTTTCATCCTGTCAATAATATTTTTGGGGGGGTCAAAAGTTACTCAAATATTGAATATGTGAATATCACGTTTGTAAGATATTTTTAAAACATAAACTATAAATCAAAAATCACATTTCACAGATTTTTATGTTTCCATTTTGGTCTCAGCTGCTTCTAAAAACAAACCAAGCGCTAAAAAAAAAAAACACCCAGTTGTTTTTTGGGCAACAAGTTAATAATGTTTGTTGGCGTCTAAAAAATGAACGTTTCAAAACTTTAGTGACGTCCCACCGTTACCGAGCAACCCCAGGGGGAGTCCAGAATGTTCCTGGTTTGACGCTGTGTGCTGTGTTCAGGGACTGCTGGGAAAGACGAGTGTTGTTGATTTACCACCCAGAAGCCTGTTGCTGCATTCTTGTTGGTTGTTCAGGAGCTTGTTTCTGCTTTTCAAAGATGTACGGTTGTATAATTGTGCGTCTGCCAGCAGCCATTTTCACTTGTGAGCATAAAGCGTTGAGTTGGGTGGCAGAAATTTATTGGGATTTAAAATGACAAGAGGCCCTGAAACAGATCAAAATAGACAGAACTGAGCAGACTAAAATATTATCTAAGAACGATCTAAAAAATGTAATTAACACATTTTGCTTAGCCCGTAGACCTATTCTAACCTGTTCAAGGAAGCATAATAGCTTTACGTTTGACATGTTATTGAATAAATAATCTTATTTTTCGTCCTCCTCAGAGTTGAACTGTTGTGAAGGGGACATTCTCCTGTTGCTGGACTCCTCAGGAAGCGTGACCACCTCTGAGTTCTCTCGCTTTTTGACCTTCGTGGCCAACCTCCTCCACCCGTTTACCCTGGGCCGGGGCCACGTCAGGGTGGCTCTGCTGCTGGTGGGCACCACTCCTCACCTGGAGTTCGGCCTGGGTGTCCACAGCAACCAGGAGAGTCTGCTGAGAGCCCTGCAGAGCGTCCACCAGCAGCAGGGAGACACCAACACAAAGGCCTCCGTAGAGCTGGCGCAGCGGCTGCTCCTGGAGGCAGACGGGGCCGTGCCCAAGGTGCTGCTGTGGCTGACGGACGGAGTCCAGCCTGGAGATGTGGAGAAGGCCATGTCTGAGCTGAAGGCTCGCGGAGTTTATGTGTTAATTGTTTATACGATTCATGGCAACCACCAGGTGCTACAGCGCGTGGCGACGCCTCCGCTGGAGTCACACCTGTACTCTGTGGACATGGAAAGCATCGACATCATCACAGAAGACCTGAGGGAGGCCATCATCAGTATGTGTGTGTGTTTTTAAATATGTAATTAACTATAAATAGTTAGCCTGATTAAGAAAACAGCCCGTCATCTGGTGCTATTTGCTCCGTCCAGATGGTCTGGAGTTATGGACTCTGTTGAGTCATCAATGTTTCCCTGTGATGTATATGCACCAGTTCAATGCTGTTAATGTTAAGGCTGGATTGAATGACTTCGTTCACTTCTTCCTCTGCCATTACTAAAACTACAGGCAGGCTCCAATTATGAAAAAATGCAGGAAACAATCGTTCAAAACTTCTCCTTCTGTTCACTGATTGAGAAATTCAACTCTATGAGGGAAATCCCAGACTGAGTTGTGAAGAGAGATTATAAACAAGCAAAATTGTTTAGAAAGGCAAAAGTCAGGCTCAGAAATGATGCATATTATTATAAAGTACATTCTATTGTCTTCACATCTTTTTTTTTTTTTATCTGTAGAAATCATTCGTGCAGAACGACTGAGCGTGGTTCGCTTGACTTCCCATAGTGCAGTGCTGCAGTGGCGTCCAGTTCTGGCTGGTGGCAGCGGTCACTATGAACTGAGCCATAAAGCTGTAGATGATCCCCTCTCTGAGAAAACTAGGGTTCTCCACAGCAGCTCCAACCGGGCAGAGCTGACCCAGCTGCAGCCCGACACGACGTACACGGCCTCCCTCCGGCCCGAGTCCAACCAGCGGCTGCACAGCACACAGACTGTGAAGTTCACCACACTTCCTGGTAAAAATCACATGTCCGCTTTTTATTATTTACACTGTCTTCTCCTTTACTAACCATAGAAAAGACAGAGATGAGTAATGTGTTTTTAAAAATATATATATTAAAGTTTTGCGATGTGGAACATACATAAATTATGGGATAGTAAAAATATGTGTATGTCGCAGATTACTGGAAAAAGAAAAACAGATAATGATATCAGTAAAACAAAACTAAGAAAACTGCAACAAACAATTACCTAAAATCACTGTGTACGCTTCATAATGCCTGTCTATGTAAAATATAAAACTGTTAATATAGTGACACATTAAGAGACAGACTGTGCATTTGGATCAATCGTATACTGATTGATCCAAATCAGTATAAGATTAACATTTCAAAAACTGTTGCAGCAGTTTTTGAAATGGCTCAAAAACTTCTGCAACAGACCTCAGGATTTATAAACAAAGCCTTAGTTATTACTCTGCAATTTCTCCACATGGAGGCTTTCTTTAAGTTTAGCTAGCCACATTTTAAACCAAATCTACAATTTTGATTATTTTCTTGGCTTTTACCATTCCATCCATAAATCACGGTCATTTGCATAGAGATGCTGCAGTTCATAAATGAAGCAGAATATTAAAATAAGACAACACACTCCTATATTTTTGAAAATGTCTCACTAATACTGAGATAGGGAGTCATGAGTAAAGTCTTAAACGTAACTGTTTCTGCTTCGCCCTCATTAAAAATGTTTTTCACACTCAATTTATCCCAATTTACTCTTGAACTTTAGCATCAAGACGAAACTAAATTTGGGTCACTCATATTAAATAATTAACTTTGAGTCTGATTATGACAGATTAAGCCTAATCAAGAACTTTTGACCTAATTTGCATTTGTTAAATTAACTGAAATTACAGCGAACATCTTAAGTGTGAATAAAGAGGTTGGTTTAAAGTCAGCATGTCTTTTTTTATTATTTCATTTAGATGTTTTAAGTCCAGCAGAGGTCACCTTGTCGGACCCTGGTCCCCGTCAGGTCCGTGTCAGCTGGGGCCCGCTGCAGCCGTCCCGGGTACAACGATACACTCTGGAGTACGGAGCGATTCCAAGCGGTCGTGTTCACACTGTGAATGTAAGCAACCAGAAAAGCTCTGTGTTTCTGAGTAACCTGGAGCCAGGCACTCAGTACCTGATCACAGTGAGCGCGCTGCACCTGGATGGAAAGGAGAGAGCCATGTCTGTGAGAGCCTGCACTCAGGAAGGTTGGTGCGCCCGGATCAACAAATGTTGTTTCAACAAATGAAAATGGGTCTTGATATCAAAGCAGTATAGACATGAGGAACACTCATTGCAAAACTCTGGTCACCTCTGACTTTTATCTTAAATCTAGGAATATCTAATTTCACTATTTTCACACCTGGTAGCCTGGTTCAACTCAGGACCAAGTAGCAACATTTGTTACATTTTCAGCTGGTGTGGTTCACTTTCACACTGCATTGTCAAACCTCCAAAAAAGATATGAGCGTAACTTCCTTCTTCATAAAATAAAAACAAAACTGGAGTGGCGTCAGATTTCAGTGATGGAGGGTTTCTCTTTTGTATTTGGTAAAATCCACAAGCCATTTCATTGCCCTGCTGGCGCTGGACTCTTGCGTTTGTTTTGGTTGCATTTACCCAGGATGCCTAGCGCTGTAGTCTGCTTCCTGCATCAGGATCGGTCTCCAATCCATTCAAAGCCAGAGTTCATTTTAAATGAGACCTGGGTTTTTAGGCGGACCAGAGTTTGTTCTTTAGTCCACATCGGAGTTTGATTGAACATTCGCATTTTCCTAAATGAACTGGACTTTCCATCCAATCAAACCAGAGTTTGATTAAAGTGGACTAAACACTGCTGGTATGAAAGCGCCCTATGAGAAAATGGTTGGTTGACCGAAGTGCTCTTACTAGAGTGTGGAGGTTAAGAATGCAGAGATATGATGCAGTTAAGCCTTTTAAATGACAAAAGTAAGCAATAAAATCTTAAACTAAATCCTAAAACAGACCTGTTACAAGACAAGCTGCTGAATTTTGGATGATTTATATACATGTTCTAGGCCAGGATACAAAGCGTTACACTAATCCAACCCAGAGATAATAACAGAGTGACTCACAGTTAATTGTGGATTTTTGTTAGTTTCAAAGTGATTTATTTACTTGTTGAAACTGTTCTCCCGAAAGTGTAGAAACTGGTGTGTGTTTGTTTTTTCCTGCAGAAGCTCGCCCCGCCCTCACCGACCTCCGGCTGACCCTGACAGGTCGGCAGGAAGGGAATGAGGTCCAAGCATCCTGGCAGACCAACACAGAAGGACTGAAAGGTTACTGGGTCAGCTGGGAGAGAAAAGGTTCCCAAAACTCCCAGTTAGAACGCTCCCTCTCCACCGCTTATCTCCCGCCTTTGCCTCCTTCAGTCCGACTCGCCCACGCCGCCCCGAACAGCCGGGTGTGTGTGTCTCCGGTCTACAGCTCGGGACGAGGAGATGGGATCTGCTGCACTGCCAAGACAAACGACGGGTAGACGGCCTGACAGGATCCGTTCATCTAATTACTGCAATTATTTTCATGCAGACTGAAATATTCGTATTTCAGTCTGTGTGGATAAAAACTGGGGAGTCAAACCGAGTATCTTACAACTCTGCAGATACAGCCTACTCTTTTATTTTATTTCCTGAGGTGTATTTCATTTGAGTACAGAAGATTTAGAACAAAACTCAGTCATGGAGATACTTTAATATCAGTCCAATCTGTCTCTTGTTTGCACCATCACTCACTTCATATAAAGAAATGAATACCTGGAACAAACACAAACCTTAAACTTGTGACATTTAAGTGTTTCAGCCATGATCTCCACTCCTTAAATTTATTTTGCTGCTCCAGTTTTCTTAGAATTGGTTTAAGAGAATTAATTCCTTAGTTTAATTCCTTGTCTATTTAGTATAACTTTTTCTAAAATATCTAATAGAAACACTTCTTTGTAATCACATTGAACCAGTGTTTATTATGGCTAATTATTGCTAAATTAATCCATATTTATGTAAAGCACATCACTTGTGCTGACTTCATGTTTTGGTCAACTCGTTTTCTTTTTTCTTACACATTTATCGCCATCTAGCGGCTGGATCAGGTACCGCTGTGGTAATTTCACAAAACTATTAAATTCTCAGTTTAAATCCATAATTTCAATCAAGTGGATGTTTAAAACTTAAAGATGAAAGCTAAAATGCACATCCCAAAAATCTCTACAAAATACAGAATCATTTAATAAATTAGAACATTAAACTATTTTCTCTCAGTTCAATAAGTCAAACATGTTACATACATTAATTCCAGACAGATATGTGTTCAACTCTTTATTTTACTTAGTTTCCTGCTAATAAAAAAAAAAAAAAACATTTTAATACCGAAAATGTGAGCTTGATATAAAGCAAGTTTAATACCTGCTTAAATGTTATTTTCAGAAGGTACTTTTAATCAGACCAATGAACCTCATTGGACCGTTTATTGTAATTTATTTAATTTGACTTTATGTTAGCAGTGTACTCTCCTTTCAATCTATGTTACAGTCAAGTCTGAGTAATGTTTGCTGAGATGGATAAAACATATTGATAAAAAATGACAAAGAGGGTGGATTTCCTGTCGAATTTTATAAAAAGTTCAGTCTCAAATTGGTTCCCCTCCTGCTGAATATGTTTAGACATTCATTTGAATCTGGAACTCTCCCGGCATCCTTGTTACAGGCCTCTGTTTCTTTGATCCTGAAGAAGGATAAAGATCCTTTATCTTGTGGCTCCTATCGTCCAATTTCTCTTTTAAATGTAGACTATAAAATTCTTGCCAAATTATTAGCACTCCGTTTAGAAATTGTTTTGCCACTTTTAATCAATTCTGACCAGACTGGATTTATTAAGGGGAGATATGCCTTCTCCAATGTTAGACGGTTATTCAATGTGCTTTATAACCCCACAGATTCTAGTGAAGCTGAATTTGTGATTAGTCTGGATGCAGAGAAGGCATTTCATAGAGTGGAATGGGGTTACCTTTTTTATGTACTTCAACGATTTGGATTTGGTAATAATTTTGTTTCATGGATAAAGCTCTTGTACACTTCTCCTCTTGCTGTTAAAACAAATTTCATTTACTCTAAGTACTTCCCTCTTTTCAGAGGCACTAGACAGGGATGCCCCATGTCCCATTACTTTTTGCAATTGCTATAGAGCCATTGGCCATCTCCCTTAGATCCAATATATATCTAAGTGGGGTTATAAGATCAGGCATTGAACAGCGGCTTTCCTTATATGCCGATGACTTGCTTCTTTATATTTCTAAACCAGCCACTTCAGTTCCTATTGTACTTTCAACTCTTGATCATTTTAGCCGCATATCTGGCTTTAAGCTAAACCTTGGCAAAAGTGAAATTTTTCCAATAAATTCAGCGGCTCGAAAACATTCACTTGTTTCTCTCCCCTTCAAGGTTGCCCTTGATGGTTTTACATACTTAGGGGTTAAGGTCAAGAGTAGATTCTGCGAACTTTTTAATTTAACTTTGAATCATTGGTGGACAAGGTCAAACAGGACCTGGATAGATGGTCTTTGCTTCATTTATCCGTTGCTGGGAGAATTAATACGATTAAAATGAACGTGCTTCCCAAATTTCTTTTTTCTTTCAGTGTATCCCTGTTTTATCCCGGTTTCTTTTTTCAGTAAATTGGACCAAATTATTACTGGATTTATTTGGGGTCATAAACCCTCTAGAATTCGTAAGTCATATCTGAGGAGACCAAAAGGTGTGGGTGGAATGGCACTGCCGGACTTTATGTTTTATTATTGGGCATCCAATATTAGAATTCTTATTTACTGGTTAAAGGCAAAGGATTTGGATAGTGCCCCGGCTTGGTTGAATTTGGAAGCCTCCTCCTGTATACAATCGTCTTTGTCTGCTTTAGTTTATGCTCCCAAACTGCTATCTGGTGCTGAAATTCCAAACAATAAAATGGTGAGAGAGACTTTGAAAATCTGGTTCCAGCTTCGCCGTTATTTTAAATTAAACTCTTTTTCTTTACAATCTCCTATCTTTAAGAACCCTTTATTTCGGCCCGCTATGATTGATAGTGCGTTCTCTGTTTGGTTCTCTCATGGTATCAAAAGCTTTAGTGACCTCTATGACCAGGGTACATTGTTTCTTTTGACCAGCTTTCTATTAAGTTTGACCTCCCAAAGAGCCACTTTTTTCGTTACCTACAGGTCCGAAGTTATGTTAAGAAAAAAACTTCTCTTTTTCCATCTAAGCCTCTTGCTAATGAGTTGGATAATCTTCTGTTACCCCCTTCACCGAAAAAGGGCATTGTATCATGTTTGTATGAGAGGCTCTGCTGTTTTCGTGAATCCCCAATCCTTTCAATCAAAGCGGCATGGGAAGAGGACCTGGGTTTTTTGCTTCCAGATGACCTGTGGGATAAAATTCTTTATCGGGTACATGGTTTGACACTGTGTGCCAGACATGGACTAATCCAGTGTAAGATCCTGCATCGCACTCACTGGACTAAGGCCAGGCTCTCTAAAATATACTCAAACATTAGTCCGGAATGCGACCGCTGTCATCAGACACCTGCCTCATTGATTCATATGCTTTGGTCATGCCCATCATTAAAGCAGTATTGGACAAATATTTTTGCGGCTTTGTCTGAAGCAGTACACATGTCCATCCAGCCTGAACCACTAACTGCACTGTTTGGTGTACTTTCTGAGAGGGTTTCTGTGTCAAGACTCGAGGCTGATTTGGTCTCATTCCTCACTCTGTTGGCGAGGCGTAGAATTTTGCTGTGCTGGAAATCAGCTCTACCTCCCTCATTTGAATTTTGGATTAAAGATGCTTTACACTTTAGTAAACTTGATAAGATTAAATTTACCCTTCGAGGTTCCTCAGCTAATTTTTTGAAAATTTGGCAGCCGTTTTTTGATTTTATTCAGACGCTGCCGTCCCGTATGGTACCCAACTAAATTTTATTTTCGCCTGACCTTTTTATTTACATTTTATTATATTATTTACCAAATAATTTATTTTGTCATTAATACCCATTGATGTACACGTTTATTTAATTTCTCCCCCCGTCTTTTTTTTTTGTTTGTTTGTTTTTTTTTCGAGGGGAAAGTTTATGTATGCGTTCTATATGTCCTATGTCCGGTTATGTTATAGAAAAAGTCTATATACTTTGTTTATACATTTTTTGCATATTTTGTATTTTGGTGTAAAAATCGAATAAAAAGATTTAAAAAAAAAATGACAAAGTTGTCATAGGGTTAGGGTTAAATACATCTTTTTGAAAATATGTTTCTTTTTTCAATGCTTGTTGCTGCATCTGTGAATAGATTTACAACCCTTGCTTAGCGTACTTCAGGTTTTTTCAAAATATATTTCTATAAAATTATGACATTTCTGTCACATTAAATCCTTTCTGGCCATTAAATATAATATTTGTGGTATTTTTGTTTTTATATTTCTTGTATTTCTCTTGATCAACAACACATTTTATCACATTTGTGACTTCAGATTTTTTTTCTCTAATGTTTTCAGCTTCACATAAATGAAGTCTGAGATCTTCTGTTAACCAGCAGACAACCTGCTGCAGGTAGATGCATACACACAAAAATGTCTTCATTTCCTTCAGGAGCAAAGTCTAAATTTGCAACTCAAGCACATTTTGTTCAGGGGAGTTGATTAATCTCCTGTGTTTCATTAACACACACGTCTCCCTGAGGTTGAAAACATTGTGGTGCTTTATGGCTTTTTATGACCCATTTGCATATAAAATATGTGTAACCAAAAGGTCAGATTTCTGCTATGATGTAACACAAATAATTTTTTTCCAGTTTTTGCTGCAGTGGAAAGATGTAAATATGTCCAAAGAGCGAGAAAATCTCCAAGCTGATTGGTTCCCTGATGCTTAAGTTATATATGCAGTTTTCTTGGAAAGCTGATTTGGATTTTCTCAGTAAACATTCACAATGAAGGTGGAGCTTGATTTGGGGCGAGATGCTGTTGACATGAGCCCACAAATTACAAATTCTAACTCAGTAGATGAAGACATGGAGAATAAAGCAACCATCAAACTTGTTGGGAAAGGACTTAGCACACCTCTGTCCAATACATTGAGCACCTTCCACATCATTCTGGTGGCTCTAGGAATTGTGGGTAACATCATTGTGTTTGGAGTCACTGGAAAGAGTGTGATGGTGGAGCACAGCACGAGACATCGCTCGGACATTATTGTCGTTAATTTGTCGGTGTCCAACCTCATGGTGTTATTTTTGAGGAACGTGTTGCTTATCTTTTGGGACCTGGGCTTCAAGGTATGAACTGCTTACGCAAACAGCTGATGTACTGCTAAAAAAACTCAAAACTAAGGATGGAAAACAACAAAAAACTGTTTTGCTTGTTGAACTAGCTTTCATTTTGCACATAGAGTTGTGGTCCACTCACTGTTAGCAGAAATGTTATCAGATCTGGACTTTAAAGAGCTTTGTTTTAATGTTACAAACTTAGAGTTTATTGAGTTTAATGATTTACATAAAATCAAATCAAATGATATTTGTTTAGCATATTTCAGCAACAGGCCAGTTCAGAGCACTTTACATTACAAAAACACAAAAATCATCAATTGAAGTGTTACATTTTTCCAGGTGTTGTCATTACACGTCAAACTGTTGGCTATTGTTTCATTTAAGGTACAAAAGCAACTGTAAACAGATGGGTGTTTAGTCACTTGTCTTAAGGTTTAAACCAGATTTAAAGGAACTCACTGTTTCAGCAGTTTTGCAGTTGTCCGGAAGTTTATTCCAGATTTGTAATGCATAGAAGCTGAATGCTGCTTCTCCAGTGTTTGGTTCTGGTTCTGCAAAGTAAACTGGAACAGGAAGTTGGTGTATATTTGTATACACCTTAGATTTTGGAGAGAAGTTATCTGGCTTGGTGTGTGACCTCACTTCATCTATATTTCTGTAATGCCACACCTGACCAGGCAGGTATACATAACTGAGAGTATGAAAGCCAGCTGCATATTTTTTCCTGATAATTGGGTGCTGCTCTGATTTGGTATTTTTCATCTAATTTCCTTTGGTACTTATTATTAGTAATCCATAGCCAAATGAAACCTATTGTTGCTCTACATTGTAGATTCTATTTTAGAAAGTGGGTGAATAAAATAACCCACTCAAAAATCTGGACAAAAGGATATAAAGGAGTAAATAAAAATTAGATATTTGCTGATGAGCAGAAAATCTGCTACAAGTGATTAAAGGTCTGCACTTCCTTCAGGGTTATGGTTCAAGGGGTAAAGATGCAAAGCAAGCAAATTTTCCTCAGGTCGATTAATTACTTGTGTTTCATTAACACACACCTTAATTTCCCAGAGGTTGAAAAAATTGTGAAGCTTTATATCTTTCTGTGATCCATTGAAAGTCAAATCGTTGGTAGGTGGAACCAAGAAATCAATTTTCAGTCGTGATGTCACTGGAAGAAGCTTCTTCAGTTTCAGGAAAAACAAAACCCCAAAGCTGGTTGGTTCCCTGGTGCTTAACGGAGTGTCAGTGTTCTTGGAAGGCTGATTTGAACTTTCTCAGTAAACATTCACAAAGAAGTTGGAGCTTGAATTGGGGCGAGATGCTGACATGAGTTCAGAAATTCAACATTTTAACACAACGACTTAAATTATGGAGCAAAAGACAACCAAAAAACTTGTGGGAATGGAACTTCGTACACCTCTGTCTCCTGCACTGACCTCCTTCCACATCATTCTGGTGGCCCTAGGAATTGTGGGTAATATCACTGTGTTTGGAGTCATTGGAAAGAGTGTAATGATGGAGCGCAGCATGAGGCATCACTCGGACATTGTCGTTGTTAATTTGATGGTGTCGAACCTCATGATGTGTTTTGTCAGGAGCATACGCTTATAATTTCAGACCTGGGCTTCAAGGTATGAAATGCTTACATAAACATCTGATATACTGATTTAAAAAAATGTGAAAAAAGTAAAAATATGTATTGGGAGCAACTCATGGAAAATGTTGCACTTGTTGAACCAGATCTCATTTTACACATGCAGTCAAAGTCAGAGGTTTAGAAACACACACATATGACATTTATGACCCCAGGTAATATAAATATGTGCAATATGGTGCATACACATACAGACCATTGTAAGGTAAAGTAAAAACATTATTTATGTACATGTATTTTATTGGAATGGCAGTGCTTAATTTGCTAAAAACCTGGTTTTGAAGCCAGTTTAGCTTGTAAAAAATACGGAAACTCCAAACAAGTATATTAAGCTTTCTAAATTATTATGTTGTAAATATTATGTTTATGTTATAAAAATAAATGTGAGGTTAGCTGTCCATTTTTCACCCATACCAAGCCTGAACACGATTAAAATCTGTGAGTAAATAGTTCTCCGAGCGTTACCTGCCAACAAAAACGTTCGCACTTCTTTCAGGTTGATGGTGAAAGATGGAAAGCTGCAACTCAAGCACAATTTGCCTGAGGAAATTGATTAATCTCTTGTGTTTCATTAACACACACCTTAATCTCCCTAAGGTTGAAAGCATTGTGATGCTTTGTGGCTTTCCCTGGCCCATGTGGAGATTGGCCCATTAGTAGGTGGAACCAAAAGATCCATTTTCAGCTGTCAGATCACTGGAAGGATCTTCTTCAGGTTGTACATATTTGCAATATTCTTGGAAGGTCACCAGATTTGAACTTTCCCAGTAAACCTTCACAATGAAGAGGGAACTTAATTTGGGCCGGGATGCTGACATGGGTTCAGAAATTCTAAATTTTGAAACAACGACTCAAGACATGGAGCAAGAGACAACCACTAAGCTTGTGGGGATGGGATTTCGCACCGCTGTTTCCCCTACACAGAGCGCCTTTCACATCATTTTGGTGGCTCTGGGAATTGTGGGTAATTCTATTGTGATAGGAGTGATTGGAAGGAGTGTGGTGATGGATCGTGGGCCGGGACATAACTCAGACATCATTATCGTCAATTTGGCAGTGTCCAATCTATTGGTGTCCATCATGAGGAACCTGCTGCTTATCATTTCAGACCTGGGCTTCAAGGTATGAACAGTTTAAATATGCATCTGATGTGCTGCTCAAAAAACTAAAAACTAAAGTATGTTTGGAAAGCAAACCATTGAAAAGTGTTTTACTTTATTAGTTCAACAGCTCAAAACTTGAGCTGTTGAAATTTTTACCTCATGTCATTATATCTGGACGACAGTTTCTGTAACCACCATTTTTTCAGTGTTGATCAATTTCGGAACAAAATGTCAACAAATGTTAAAGTAACTAGATGCAAAAGTTTCATTCACCATCAGCAAGCTTCTGCCACAGTTCTAAGTTCATATATTTGTCATCTCCTCTTTCCAGAGCTGGTTTGTGTGTCTTAGGTGGTTTTCTGTCATGAACATCAAATTTTATTTCACAGATTTTTCAAGACGGATGAGGTTAGGAGCTATTCTCCAAACTTAATGTAACCTTTATGTTCCTAATGGTTCTGTGTAAATACTGAATTGCTTCAACCATTTGACCCAAACTGCCAACCTTTAGATAAAACAAAACTTGCTGGGATGTTCAAGAACAACCCAAGGTGAAAAAAAGACTTACATGTCTACCACAATTTACATTGTTGTTGATTTTTTGTCCATTGGCCCTATGATCTGAATGCAGAGGGTGCTCCAAGACATGAAAACACACAAAACTCACCCAATCAAAATATCTATTTTCCAGCTGTACACCTCCAAAGGCTGGTGTCAGTTCCTGATGGGAGTCTGGGTCTGGTTGCGGTCGGTCAACGTGTGGTCAACGTTCTTCCTCAGCGCGTTCCACCTCCACACTCTGAAGCGCGTGGCTCCGACTATTGGACACCTTCATGGGCCGTGGAGCACCTACAGGACCCTGCTGCTGAGCCTGGCCATCGTCTGGATCTTAAACCTTCTTTACTCCATTCCTGCTCATATTTTCTCCACCAGTGGCAATGAAAACAGCACAGAGGTGAGACAAACACGAAGTTTGCATGTTTTTCCCAGGCATCTGTAATTCTTCTTTGTTCGTCCGAAGAAGCAGGTCCAGTAGACTGACTTCACAACAAACACACATATGCTCAACATTGAAAGACTATCACAGAATTGATGACTGAAACATTATTTTGTATAAAAAATTAAAGCATACCTTACAAGAAACTTGCAGGTATGTTTTTTGTCAACTTCTTTACTCACGCCATGAAAAGAAAGAGAATCTGTGGGCACTGAATGCATTATTCCCACAAGTCTGACCTGGAAGTGACCTGCACAACTTCCCTGAACAGGAGGGACCAGGGACCCATTGGTCCCTCCACTTTACCGCCCCACCCATTGAATGCTGTAGGCATTCACACTATTGAGTTCCACTTTTGAACCCATGTGTCATAGGAAAGGGGCTCCAATTGCATCCACCTGATTGTAATGCACTTCAGGGCTGCTGTAAAAATGACATTTAACAGATATACTTTGGCCCGTCCTTGCAAACCATCTGCTATAATACCAAGTAACGCAACCGTAATATCTTTTGATATAATATCTGGAAAGATATGTTTTATAGGCCCGTACACCTCATCCCAAAACTTTTGAAGTTTTGAGATGTGTGTATGGTTGGAGATTGCCGAACTACATTTTCTCCAACACTAGCTTGGTACTTTAGCAACTTCATCTGGGGTCCTGAAATATCTGCTAATATATTTCCACTTATATTCCCGCCACGTATTTGAGCTTGTAACTTGATGTGCCTCAGTTTCATTGTAAACTCAAAGAAAACAGAGTTGATTCTGACAGTCAAAAATAGCAACAGGAAAGGGGGAGGAGCTGAAAGAGAAAGAGAAAATAACTTTTTGACGAACGAATTAGAAGAATAAATAAGCCAGTTTTGACAAACGTCACAACTATAGTATTGTTAAAATTAAACTCTGTTACAAATATGTGGGCTATTCTCTACTCCGAGACCACAACCCGAAACATGACTTTTCTTCATTTATCAAGTTATATTTTCACAGTTTATTTCTTCATTTGTAAATGTCAGCGTTTCAAACTAAATATTTAATTAACACGTGAAATATTATATGTGTAGCCTTCAATTAAATATCAAGTTCCCAAGGAAATTTTTAACTATTTTGCTGACTAAATATTTAGTTTAATACAAAATATTTATTTTACAAAAACTAAACATTTAATTTTTAAACTAACTACTTATTTTCCAAACTAAATATGAGATGTTCAATTGAGAACTAAATATTGACTTTGGCAACTCAATATTTAGGACTAACTAAATATTTAATTTGAGAGTAAAGTATTTTGCTTGTATACTTAGCTTGAGGATTAGCTGACACTTATAAGTGTCTGAATAACATGATGAAAATAACTTTGCAAAATCAACACTCCCATGGAGGGATTATCTTTCTCAGTTGCATTTCTTCTTCCTCCTCCTCTGACTCAGACTCTCATGTTGGTGACCAGCACAACGCGCCCCCTGCTGGGCTGTGTGTGGAACTTCCCCTCAAACTACTCCGGCCTGGCCTACGCAACCACATCCATGGTGATCCATGAAATATTCCCAATCATCTTGATGGCGGTCACCAACATGACGTCTCTCTACGCTCTCTACGCCCACAGCCGGTCGAGGAGCTCTGTTCAGGACGCACCTGTTTTAAAACGAGTGCCAGCAGAGAGGCGAGCCGCCAAGGTAAGACAGATCCTACAGTCCAAATACTGCTCCAAGAGTACGAGGACAGTATTTTTTTTACAATACTGTTCATGTTGGAACAAACATCAACAGTATTTGTCCCAAAAGTTATATTTTTGATCTTCCATGGATTAATTTATTTTATTTCTAGGTGATTCTTGCTCTTGTCATGCTTTTCATCGTCTGTTGGGGAACCAGCATCATCTCTCTCAACTATTTCAACTACAATCGAGGCTCCTCAGCTGAGTTTCTGCTGGTCATCGCTCGCTTCGCAAACATCATCTTCATCACTATGTCGCCTGTTATTCTGGCAATCGGGCACCGCCGGCTTCGTTCGTGCATGAAGTCTTCTGTCTCTGACTGAAATTTTCTGGGTGAAGAGCAACACTTGGTCCGTTAGGCCACAAAACAATCCCAGTAAATCCTCCATCCACCTGTCGTTCAAAGTGTTTGTTAGAGTGGATGCAATGCCTCGCAAAATTATCCATGCTTCTTAAAGTTTCTCACATGTCTTCATGCATAAAGATGGAGATCTAAAATATGGGGCAAATGGTTTTTTCTGTCCCTTTTTCACTGTATTGACGGACAGGTGCAAATGAGCAGCAAACATCGGAATGATGCAAACTCCAAAACACACACAAAAAAAAAAAACAAATGCAACAGAAAAATGCTGCAATTTTTCAAAAGACTACAATGAACAAAACAAATCCAAACAGAAACTATAGCAATCACAAAAAATAGAAGCAAAAGGGAAAATGCAGAAAATATAAAAAGTGAATAGTATGAAATGCTGCAAACTTGCTCAATGAAAGAGTTCTTTTTTTGCTTGCAGCATTTTTCTGTTGTATTTGTTCTATTTCAAGCAGAACTCCTTAAAATTACATGGAATTGATGAAGCATGTTCATGAGGTAGAAACTGTCCAATCAAAATCCCCCGTAAATCCAATTGAGACGACAACACCTGAGCTATTCTGCAAAGGAAACCGGATAAAAGTTTTAGTCTTGATATAGACAGTGGTAGAGAGAATGGCCCTATGACTTGCAGCAAAGAAGATTCTGCAAGACATTGACTCTGTGTAAAAACATTGAAAGCGTGTCGACACTTTTGCGAAACCCTCATGAGTTTGACTCATAGAAAATAGTGTACATTTACTGTGTGGCCATGTCTTCTTAATTTATTATGTGGCTTGGTTTATTACAAAAGTTTAGCAAAATCAGTAACAGTTCAATATATTGACAGTTCAATAAATTTGTTTTGTTTAGATATCAACCTTAATATCTAAACAAAACAAATTAAAAATGCTAATATCATTCAACAAACAAAATGAATAAACAAAGATAAAAGTAAAGATACACCAGTTTCTGGTGTATCTGATTATTTTTATTTTATGAGTTTCATGTGTAATTTAGCTACTGGGAAATTTGAGCGAATCAACATGATGGTTTTTGTATGATTCACTCAGGATGAACCTCTCATTTTGTGTCCCACTCCACACAACCAAAACGAAAAGAAACGCCACACACCCACTCAGCAGTGTTCACTACGCAAGAAAAAATTAACATTAGTATTTTTGTAACTTTTCTGAACCCTTAAAAACTAAACAAAATTCTCAACACATTAAACTGGGAAAGAGAAACCCACCTTATCCACCTTTTTTGCAAAGGTGTGCAAAAAAGCTACAGAAAACGTATTTTTGGCGGAACCTTTTATTTTTGGAACAGTTTGTGATGCCCCACATTCTGTGCCGCCATGGGTGGAGAGCCGTATCACCCAAAAGAAATCCACTACCTGAGCAGCATGCTAGATATGAGAAAACAATTTGTACAGATGAGATGAGAAATTGATTTGTTTTTCTTTAGATTCAAATAAATGAGTTCCAATAAAAAGTTGAAGAATAACAAAGGAATTAAAAATTATATGATTCTTGATTTATTCAGTGAAGAAAGAAATATTTTACTTTTCACTATCTTTGTGGTATAACTTTGTCTTTGACCTTTTTAACCTTAACCTCTTTCTGAGCAACAAAACTGGTTTGTTTTCTGCTCGTTTCGGGGGTTTTTTTTCCACTTTCCGTCTCCTGGCTGTGAGGGATGTTGGTCCACACCAGAATCAAGCTCCTGATTTTCCTCCTCAGCTTCCCATGTCCCAGAGCCACCACAAGCGGACTGAATCCCACAAACAGCGAAGCAGAGAAGTGGGCCACGGTTAGCAGCCCCTCGGCGTGATGCCCGCCATCATAGTTGTAGTAGGTCACCGCGGCGACCTGCAGAACCCAGCAGACCACAAAGAGCGACACCAGAGACATGATTACATGAGCGGCCTTACGCTCAGTGGACACGTGTTTCTCCAACTCCCCGTGGCTTCCTGAGTCCGAGGTAACGGCTCGCATGTGTTTAGCAAGGGAGTGAAGGGTTACCAAGTTGGTGAAGACCATCACAACCAGCGGCAGAACCTCGTTGAGCGCAAGAGAAGTGGATGCGAAGGCCGATCCTTGTTGGTCGCTGGGGAACTTCCAGGCGCAGCCCAGCAGAGGCCGTGTGGTGCAGCTGATCACCATCAGCTCCACGGTGGCGTTGCTTTCAATGTGAGTGGTGAACAACAGCGCCGGGATTGAGAAGGCCAGGTTAGCACCCCACACCAGTCCCAACACCACCCACACCCGCCGCCGCTCCCTCTGCAGAGTTAGAGGTCCAAAGGTCACATGTTGTCGCCTCAGGGTCGTGCAGTGGAAGATGCTGAGCGTCAGCGTCACCCAGCAGCCCACGGCTCGCCACCACACCCACAGCAGCATGAAGATCCTGCACCAGCCCGGAGACAGGGACACGTCCAGGCCCAGGTCGGACACGAATATGGGAACGGTGCGGAAAAGAGAGGTGAGCAGGTTGGCCAGCGACAGGTGGACTAAGATGGTGTCGGAGGGAGAGAGTCTCCGAGACGGATTCTCCAAAGCACTTTGAAACACCTGAGTGGAGAAATACAACAGATTGAAGTCAATCACAGAAAAAACACAAACCTATTTTAGTCTGGTTCCTAAAGCAAATATCTTAGTACTCCCGAAATAAAACAAAACTAACTTAGAAGTAACTTTTCAGAAAGATTCGGCTCCAGAAGGAAATAAGAGCCCACTGCACTGAACCCCACTGAAAACCTCCTGGTTGTTCCACCAAATATTGATTTCAGACCTGAGTTAAAACATTAAATTTGTTGTTTCTAAATGAATATGATCTTGTTTTCTTTGCATTATTTGAGGTCTGAAAGCTCTGCATCTTTTTCATTATTCTGGCCATTTCTCATTTCCTGTAAATAAATACTACATTTTTGCTTGTAATTTCAGAGACATGTTGTCAGTAGTTCATAGAATAAAAGAGCAATGTTCATTTTACTCAAACATATGAATATAAAGAGTAAAATCAGAGAAACTGATCATTTTAAGCGGTATCTTATTTTTTTCCAGAGCTGTATGCGACCTTGATTTAAGTTTTAAAAAATCCAGTGGAAAAAATAGTTTTTCATCAATATTAACAAATTATTGCCTCAAAACGAGCTGCTATATATTACTGAAAGGTTTCTTGTTTTATCTTATTTAAAGTGTGCTGAGCTATTTTCACTAGAAATTAAAACAAAAATGCCTGGTGAGATTTTGTGTAAAAACCATCCACTCATACATTAAAAAGATATTTAATCTCTCACCACATGGATGACCAAGATGTTTCCCAAAATCCCAGAGAAAACCAAGAGGCCAAACAAAATAGCATCTACCATGAGAATCTTTGACATGGCGTCATCCTTTCCTTTCAATCACAGGTCTGAGGGGTCACACAGAGTGCCGGACTGTTTTATATGTGTTCATACAGACAAATGATCAAATCCATCACACATGATAAATCTCTGCTGACCGTGCTCACAGTCCATTTAATAAAAAACATCAACATGTCCCATGTGTCACAGACCAACAGGACTGCTACATCAACAGGTTTAATCGCAAAGTAAAAACTAATAGTACTTATCTATTTAGTTCACTCTATTTCTGTTTAATTCAAAAATATTCAGTCACTATTCAAATATAATCTTTTGATTACATTTTGATAATGAGCATAAGTAACTTATTTAATCCTATCCTTTAGATAGATAGATAGATAGATAGATAGATAGATAGATAGATAGATAGATAGATAGATAGATAGATAGATAGATAGATAGATAGATAGATAGATAGATAGATAGATAGATAGATAGATAGATAGATAGATAGATAGATAGATAGATAGATAGATAGATAGATAGATAGATAGATAGATAGATAGATAGATAGATAGATAGATAGATAGATAGATAGATAGATAGATAGATAGATAGATAGATAGATAGATAGATAGATAGATAGATAGATAGATAGATAGATAGATAGATAGATAGATAGATAGATAGATAGATAGATAGATAGATAGATAGATAGATAGATAGATAGATAGATAGATAGATAGATATAGATAGATAGATAGATAGATAGATAAATAGATAGATAGATAGATAGATAGATAGATAGATAGATAGATAGATAGATAGATAGATAGATAGATAGATAGATAGATAGATAGATAGATAGATAGATAGATAGATAGATAGATAGATAGAATCATCATTCGTCCTCCACCATTTTACCATTCGAAAATGACTTTTTTATATCTTATATTAAACTGAGTTATGTTTTAATATTGCTTCCGCTCAACATTCAATCCGTCCCACAAAGATCCACACTATTTATTATATATAATGTACAGACTCTTTGTTTCTCTATTTATTTGTATTTATTCAGTTCAAGAGTAAAGAGAGAAATGAATTCAGTCATGCACACCATCAACCTTCATCTCACAGGTCCAGGAAGTAAACAAACAAATTCAGCATTTTTTCATCTTAATCAGCCTTTCATTCTCTCCCTTGGTACTAATCATTCACTGAGCTTCCAGTGGGACACGGTGATGACGTCATGGAATAATCTTAAGCACTGAAGGAGAGAGCGATGAAGCATTTCACCAAAGTGTAAATATTTCCATTAGAGGTTGTTATTAAAGAGCAGCAAAGATTTCCTCCCGAGGAAAGAGCTGATGCAGCAAGAAAATACTCTCTTTTTTTAACCTATTTGCACAACTAACACTGCACATCATCTCTAAAACATGGTGGTGGAAGCATTATGATGGATGGAGCTAAATGCAGAGCAGGACTGGAATTTCAATAATATTTGAAATGAGTGAGCAGAGATAATGTAGCAGTTTATATTGAAATATATTCAAGTATTGCTGGGTTTCAGACATGCGTACCTGCAGAGAAATGCGCGCCCAGTGGCGGGACCGCGCATCGCTCTAAACTCTGGCATATTGATAGGAAACGGACTGAACCTTTATTGAGACATACACGAGTCGAACGTTTTTCAGGGTCTGATGAACATGTTCTCCTCAGATGGTTTGAAATTCTTTTAACACCATAATGGCTCAAATCACAGCTTATATTCGTCCAGAAGAGCAACAGCTTTTCCCCCAGCTGCGTTTTCAGGATCTGATCCACACCTGGAGCACTGAGTGGGACGATGACTCATCATCCAACTGCTGCTGATGACTCCAAATATTTCACGCACGCACCCACGCTCTCCAGCACGCACGCTACGGCGAGCGCTCCTTCACGTGCGCTCTCTCGAACGGGCATCAAAGCCATTTACGTCCAGCCAGACAGGAAGGAGAAAGCGGCTCCGCTGTCCTGCAGAAACACGTAAGTGGTTTGCACACAAGGAGTCACTTTGATCTGATTTCTAAACGCCTTATTCATGCGAGATCGCTTTAAATGCACCAAATGCGTTTTCTGCTTCAGATGGGAGTAAAAAGAAGAAGAGGAAGAAGTGATCTCTATGGCAGACCTCGGCTCGGATGGTTGTGCCATCGCCCATCCGGCGGTCCACTGTGAACGAAAATAATTCAACCAGAGGACGAGAGATGACGAGCCACCGCCGAGCATCTCTGCTCGCCCTGTCGGCCCTCCTGGTCTCCACATTAACACACCAAACGTCCTCATCCTCATCCTCAGCAGCAGCAGCAGCAGCATCCGAGGGGAGAGGCAGGAATAACAACCGGAGTCATGACAGCAGGCCATCATTTCAGAGTAAAGACAGCAGCAGTAATTTCTCTGTCAGCGCGCTGAGACCGAAACCAGATGAGGAGGCGGCACCGATCTGCGCCTACAGGGTGATAGAGGGGGGCATCTGGGGGCAGCTTTGTTTTCGACGCACGCTGTTCGGGTTCAGGTGCAACCAGGAGGACTGCAGGACGCAGGTGACTCTGGGGAACCTGGTGGCGAACCTGCTCACCAACGGCAGCGTGCTGCTGCAGTGGAGCCACAACGAGACGGAACAGAGCCCCCCCGAGCAGCCTGCTGGTTCTGGCTCACACGTGACTCCTCCGCCGCGCTCGGTGTTCGGTGAGCGCCGCCACCAGCGCGGCGGGTTCGAGCTGAGCTGCTGGTGGAACGGCAGCTACACCCAGTTCGAGTGCGCCGGCGTGCAGCTGGCGGCGGGATGCAGGGACTTCATGATGCCCGAGCTGCACGAGAACATCCCGTACCGGATCTGCCTGCGGACCCCGGCCCGGTCCGGCCCGCGCCGGAGAGCGGAGCGGCGGGACTGCGTGGAGTTCACGCTGCCGCCGTCAGGGATGCAGGACATTGTGATCGCCATGACGGCGGTAGGGGGCGCAATCTGCGTGATGCTGGTGATCATCTGTCTGCTGGTGGCCTACATTACAGAAAACATCATGAGCCCCACGACACAGCACTCCTACTCCTACCGCACTCACTCACGCCACTGACGGCCTAAATAAGATAAATAAACACACCAGGTTCCCACAGTCGTCGTTACAAGGTAGTTATTGTTCAGCGCACAGCGCAGGTGCTTCTTTATACATTAGAAAGGCAATTTAATTCGGAAAAAAAGAGAAACTAATGTTGGTGATAATGGCAAACAGCTAATAAAACCCAAAATGTCCTGGAAAATAGGGATAAGCCGCAAGAAGTATTTCCTAAACAAGCATGCTATTCACAAAATACCATCTAAGAATATTGATGGAAAGTTTGGTGGGGGGAAGAAACACAATCGACGACAACTTCAGCCTTGAGAAGATGGTGAAGCTCACCAATTTGAGAGTTTGGATCGGACTCAGAAGAGCCACCACACAAATCCAGGATTGAAACAGAGACTAGACTGTTGCTTAGTTTTTCCTAATTTCTTTAAAATAATACCTGGAGGAAGAACGAGGAAACTCCAAATTAAAGCTGTTTTGAATCCGGTGTGAAGTTTCCACAGCACAGCCATGCCAGGAAATGTCAGAGTACTTTATGCTTCCTTATGCTAACAGGTTCCAGGACCTTTCACCTCCCCACTCTGCCAAAAACTGGTTAAATTATCATAATCTTACTGGGCTTGATTGGTCAGCAAATGCATGGGAGACAATAATTTAAAAATCCCTTTATTTTGGCTTTCTGTGAAATCAAAGTTTTCTCATTGAAATTTGAGTTTTTATTTGCTGTAAGTCATCATCAAAGTAAACAGAACTAACCACTAATGACACAACAATCTACGAGTAATAAATCTGTAAATGACTTTGATTTACTAAAACATCAAAATATCCATAATAATCTAATGTATTAAGAAGCACCTCATCATTTTACAACCAAATTGAAGCACAATTTTGCTGTGGCTCTGCAAATAACACGCCTTTTTAACCTCTGCCAGGGTGCACTGAACCAAAATTACTGAGAAACTGTTTTTAGTATGTGAGTTTACTGTGTCATTTTGTTGCTCCAGATTGTCTCTGGTGTGCCATCAGGCTGCATTTCTACAGCAATACAAACAGCCTCAATAAATGGCTTAGGGTACATAAATCTGAGAGTGTGTTTATGTTGGGAAAGAAAGAAATATAACCTAAGTTTGATTTATTCAGTCATCTCTGGTTTCTGCTTGTAGGTTTACATACAGTGTTTGTACAATCTGTGAAGGGCAATAGAAAACTGTGTGCAATCTCTGAATTCTGTGCCAAACGTCTTTTAGCTAGAATCCCTTTTTTTGTCCCGCTGACTGCAAATAAAAAACTGTGGGGTACCTTTTAATATCACACAGCTGTCTTTATTGTTCTCTTTCTTGTGTAGTTGGGTGTGTGCATGTGACGACGTCTTGTGCCATCCAGGTCAAATAAAAATATCTTCTATTGAGTGCTAAAAATACCTGGACAAGAACATTAACCAGCATCAAGAAAGAACAGCTTGAGGCCTGGAACTGAAATCTACTCTGAAGGTTCTGAAAAATACTTTAAAAAAACAGAGGACTCATTATCTCACAACTTATTTATTGAAAAGGAAGGTCTTGAAACACATTTGATTCTTGCAGATTACTGAAGGTGTGATGTGGCATTAAGCACCAAGATATTGATAGTAGAGAGTTTACATCCTATAAGTTGCAATCAGGTTTCTTTATGGATTGGACTTTACATTTTAGTTCATCCCACAGTAGCTCAAGATCTTAGATTCAGATCTTAGAAATATGGAGGCTAAATCAACTCCATAAACTTACTGTTGTGCTCCTTAAACCATTCCTGAACTAATTTTGCTTTGTGGCTAGGACCATTAACCATCTGAAAGACAAAACCAGCAGTAAATAATGGTATCATGAAATGGTATGCACGATCTGCAGCGATGCTCACGTAGGTAACATGTTTCAAAGTACTATTCTCATTTGTCATTATTTAATAATTATTAAAAATAAATATTTATTAAAAATAAATAATTCTGCGTGTATTGAATTCATCTAATGACTTTTTCACCTTAAGTACTTCTACTTTTCAATAACAATGAAGGAGTATTTGGATAACATATGTTTTACTGACGTCATGCGAAGCTCCGCCCCCCGATGACATCACCTTATAAAGCCGTTTTCACCGTCTCTGCTTCCGCCATTTTAACTTCCTGCTTCAAAAGAACGGGAACGGCGCTGACGGTGTTCATAGTTGAAACGCCGTGCCGTTTAACTTACTATAGGGGTTTATTGTTTATGTTTTTTCCTCACAGGAACCAAAAGAACCACTAGGCTTTAGTTTCTGACCGCTGGTGTTAGTTAGTCTCAGCCGGAGAGTCGCAATGCCGAGCCAGCCGCTGCGTGTAGCGGTTGTTTGCTCGAGCAACCAGAACCGCAGTATGGAAGCGCACAATATCCTCAGGTAAAGACGACCCGCCAGGAAGACGAGACAGAACAAGAAAACCAACTCCAAGTGAACCTGTGCTGTGTGGAGGGGGTTTCCCAGCCGGTCACAGCCCGTGCCGACGCGGTGTCGGTCCGTCAGGCCTTTATCGCTCTCTAACAATGGACTCTCACTTCTGGAGTGTCCCGCCGAGGGTGTAGCTCACCCTGAACACACCCTGCTTACACGGCTTCGCATGTGCTGGTTGAAGGAAACAACCGCACTGATTTTTCCTCTTAAAAAAAAAAAAAAAAAACACGCATGGATTTTAAAACGCAAGGCCTTAGTGATTAGATCGGTTCCCCCCTGGCTTCACATGTTGACAACAGCGCCCCCTGGACGGAAGTCTTCCAGAAGAAGAACTGCAGTTGTGCAACTCCGGTCATTCAGCTTTTTCATAACACGATCTGAGGAGTTTCATGCCCTTGTGTGTTTTTAATAGGAATAGTTTGCGTTCAGAGTGGACGCTATTTGTTTTACAATAAAAAAAGGAAGTTTTTTTAAATTTTTTATTAAAGCATGGGAATAAGGACTTCTACACTCTAATCAAAAACTGACTACAATAGGATGATCACTTATCTTGCTGGCAAAATGAATTTTAATATTGTATTTATTCTCTTGTCCTTTCCTTTTTTACAGCAAACGTGGATTTGACGTCCGATCATTTGGGACTGGGTCTCATGTGAAGCTACCTGGTCCATCCCCGGATAAACCTAATGTGTATGACTTCAAAACAACTTATGAACAGATGTACAACGACTTGGTCCGAAAGGACAAGGAACTGTATCCCCTTCGCACTCATTTTTTTCCTTTCTTTCTCTCTCTCTTTCTCACACACACACCTAAGTAAACATGACCCATCTGAAAGTCTTACATGGATGGTATTGTTTGTTTGGAGTTTGGCTAGGTGGTCGTCTTGGGACAGCACAAACAATGGGAGCTCCTCAAATCAGACGCAGTCTGAAAATGTTTGACACATGGTTGTAAAATAAGGTGTGAAATAACCTTGCAATCAGCAGGTGCATTAGAACAGTAAGTGGATTTTGCTGGCAATAGTAACCTGTTTGTCATTTTTCTATTTGTTTGTTTTTTTATATATATATATATATATATTATGTGTTTGTGTTTTTAAACCCGGTTTCATTTTTTATTTTTGAGTTTTTTTGCACCATGATCAGTTTCTGGTGCCTTGGTTCTGCCTGGTGAGTAGAAAGAGGAAAAAAAAGAGCCTTGTGGGTTGCAGCTATGATGCTGGAAAACTGAACCATACAGATGTGAAGTCCTATGAAAACTCATGTTTAAAGCTGTAGTGTAAATGTAAACTGTATATTTGGGGTAAAGTTTAGCTTAATGGTAAGTAATTCTGGGTAAGTTTTCTGGAAAAACCTTAATTATGTGGAGAAAAAAAAATAGGATTTGTTCTGCATTTCTTGATGCTTTCATTTTTACTTAGTCCCTTTGCCTCAGAATAATTTAATGCCCATGACTTTAAAACAATCTAAATTTCTGACCTACAAAAGCAGTTTATTTAAAAATTTGATAAAATTAATTTGAAAGTGTGGCAATTTGAAGTGTTCAGGCTCAAATTAATAGATCTTCTCGTCATAGAATGGAAATTATTTAGTGATTGGCTATTTTGGGTCAGCTGTAACAAGCATCCTTAAAGCTTATAGAGACTATAAAAGGTTTAAAGATAAAAAAGGATTTGCAGAATAAAGGATTTTCAAAATGTAAAGCATCAAAAATTGAAACTTCTAGTTTTTTTGCTGTTTTCTTTGCTCATGTGTAATCATGAGCTGTATTCTGCTCTCCAATATTTAAATGCATCATTTCATAAAGTAAAAAGATTATGAAATAAGGAATTTTTTATTATTTTTTTGACAATTGATCCTCTGATTTTTGGCTAACTTCTGGGATTACCTAAAGCATATTTGGAAAAGCCACTTTTAAACTATTTAGGTTATAAAGGTTCAAAATGTCACCTTAAAAAGCAATTATTTTGTGAAGGTTTTGTATTTTTTATTTATTCCTTTTAATTGTGCTGAAGACCTAGATCAGGGGTCTTGACTCCAGTCCTTGAGATCCGGGGTCCTGCAGCTTTTAGGTGTTTTCTGGATCCAACACACCAGAACCAAATGCATAAACCACCTTTCAGTATGCAGTCCAGTTCTCCATAGTCCTCCTGATGACCTCTTTAATTCCCTCAGGTGGGTTGAAGCAGAGATAAAAGTTGTAAGACCTCAGACCTTGAGGGCTTTAGTTGAAGATCTCTGGTTTAGTGTTTGGGAGCTGGAAGATTAAACTGTTTCCCTTCTTGTCCACATTTTTAAACCACTGAAACCTCATTTGTTTTCTGAGTTCTCGACTAGAAGGTGCCAAACATCCTATGAACCTCGTGCAATGTAGCAAACACCTGATTTGTGATGCAGTAGGAAGATTGTGATATAGTTATAAAAAAATTTTACCTGTAAGTAGAAGATGGAGAGAAAAATGACGTATTGAAAATGTTGATTTTTAATTAAAACTCTTCAGAATGGCGACAGTTGTCTAAACTTTATTTCACAGGAAGTCCAGTATTTTTAAATTGTGGACTAGTTATTGATGTCACCACCAGAGGGCGCTGTTTTCTCTATTCTTTCTCTATTCAAAAGCATTTTTCCCTTTTTCTCTGAATAGCAGTAGACTCGTGGTTTTTAAAACAATAATTTGTGTGTGTAGCTTTGGGAGGAGGTGATTTTGCTCTGTTTTTGTGGCTGCTGCTGTTTTCCTTGACTTCCTCGCCTATCAGATATACACAGAACGGGATCTTACACATGCTGGACCGCAACAAGCGCATCAAAGCAAAACCAGAGCGCTTTCAGTTGTGCAAGGATAAATTCGACCTGGTCATAACCTGTGAAGAGAGAGTCTATGACCAAGTCCTGGAGGGTGAGATTGTTTATTAAATGTCAAATCACTGACTATATTGTTATTTAGAACTCTTTACAAACCATTTCCTCTGCGGTCTTAAAAAAAGATTGCATTTTGACTTGTTTTTGTTTTTCTAGATTTGAATTCAAGAGAGCAGGAGACGTTACAACCAGTTCATGTAATCAATGTAGATATTCAGGACAACCACGAGGAGGCCACGTTGGGAGCCTTCCTCATTTGCGAGTTGTGTCAGTGTGTAAGTATCTAATTCAGAATTTTCTTCAACCATCAAATATACAGTTTATTAAAACTTTCAACCAGCCTGTTATCAGTTGGTCTAAGTTGTGTCCGTCTACATCAGATCCAGCACACAGACGACATGGAGAACGAAATCGACGAGCTCCTGCAGGAGTTTGAGGACAAGAGCAACAGGCCTTTTCTCCACACCGTCTGCTTCTACTGACACATGAAACAAGTTTGCAATAAACACACACCCAGACCCCAAGCAATCAGTCGATAGAATAAGGAGAAGCAGGCTGCGTATTCTCCTGATGATTGGTGCAGAGCAGCTCAACGCTTTGGGTCAGGACCTAAAGATCGAGAGCTACTGGAAGTGATGGTTATGATGGGCTGTTCCTCTCTGCAGAGGTTGGACTCGCTGCTCTCATTATGCCTTTATTCCTCTAGATCAGGGTTCGGCCGCGGTCCTCCCCTGACCCAAAATGGAATCACTCGACCACATCTCCTCAGGGAGAGCCACGACCCGCAGCTCCCCTATGGCCCTCTCTCATTTTTTTGTTCTTTGTTGTTGAATAGAGCACATTTACGCTCCTTTGTTTAATTTTAAATTGCATTTTTTGTTTTAATATGAGAATTTTAATTTTGGTATGAGACCGTGTACATGTGTTTACACAGGAGAAACATTGATTGAACTGTATATGTTATTTGTGCGCCAGTGTGTTGTAGATAATCTGAATTAAGTTAAAGAGGGTGGGCTAGTGATGAATAACCAAACAAGACATCTCAGAGGTGCTCCTGCGGTGGGTTTCATTATAATGTGCTGATTTATATTTAAACTCTGAAATGCTGTCTTTCAGGGCATAGTATTTTTTTTGTAAATGTTTAAGAATTGAAGCAATGTAATTATTTTCAAACTGCAAGTTCAACTCTTGAGTGCCTGATTTTTCTGTATGTACATATGAATCTACTAAAGGAGACATGTAATATGTTTTACTGACTGTCTTTTATTGCGTTTTCTCTGATTTCTGAAAGTTGGAGCTGCCATTAAGACCTAGACTGTTAGATTAACACGTTTGTCACTTTGTGGGGGGAACGTACATGTAATTTTTGCTCAACCTTTTTCTTATCCTCCAGATTTCAGTTGTAGTCCAGTGAAGACATGAAATTACCGAATGTCTTCAAATTATTTTCTATCTCAGCATGTTGGTAATCTTGATTTTTACCTACAGTCAGGAAAAGGTAAACTTTCACAACTCTGATCGAGTTGTGTGCGTTAATGTCGACTCCGACAGAAGAAGAAATTCCGACTAAGTGAACAGCAGATTAATGGACTTATTGAACCAATCGAACTCTTAAAGCTGCAACAACAAAATGACTTTCAGTTCTGGTATTCAAACCAGATGAAAACAGGCTGGGTCACAAATGAGCTGAAAAACTGGACATTTGTTCAGATCTCGGGATCCAGACGTAATATTCTAATTTTAAGTGTCGTGTTTTTATCAGCCATAAGCAGAAAATCTAAATAAGCAGAAATAAAGGATTGAAAAGATCAATCTCTGTAAGTTGTATATAAAACATGCTTCACTTAGTGAACTTATTACTGAAATAAATTACATTTTTAATCACTATTCAATTAAATTTAGCCCATTTATATTGCGCTAACTGACAACAAATGTTGTATAGAGGCACTTTACAAAAAATAATTTCAATTCAATCACACATGCGTTCCAATTGATCCCAGTTCTCTATAAGCTCTGTCATTTTATTCAACTTAATTAAAAAGTTTTCTAAGGAAAGCCAGCAGATGGCAACATTTACTCCACCTCCTTACTGTGTTACTCAACACACAGATGCATATTTTGTGGGATCTTTTAGTTTTCATCCACTGAATAAATAGAAATGGACTAAATATCTCGTATATCAGTCATCTGCTCGCACAGGTGTCAAACTCCAGTCCACAAGGGCCGGTGTCCTGCAGTTTTTAGATGTACCTCAAGTACAAAACACTGGAATGAAATGACTTACTGACCTGCTCCTTGTGTAGATTAGTTCTCCAGAGCCTTGCTAATGAAATAATTATTCTTTTCAGGTGTGGTGCAACAGAGGTGCTTCTAAAAGTTGCAGGACACCAGCCTTCCAGGACCGGAGTTTGACACCTTCTGTGATTAGAAATCTGTTTTCATTGAGGCTTTCAATAATAATTCCACTTATTTGAATTGTTTGTGTATTTATCAAAGTACAAATAAAATAATTTTACTTTTATTTAGATTTAATATGTTTGTTTGAAAATAAAGCTACATCATTCCACACAAATCATAACCAGAGCATAAAAAGTAAAAAAAAAAAAAAAAAATACAAAGGAACCAATTTGAACATCCGGGACACTTTGCGTTTATTATTGGCACTTAAAATAAATGATTTTGGTTCCAACACTCAACCTTGATGGATACTATGACATAAATAATAATAATAATAATAATAATAATAATAATAATAATAATAATAATAATAATAATAATAATAATAATAATAATAATAATAATAATAATAAATAAAACAGGTTCTAATTCCACAATCCAATTTCAAAATGCAAAATTGATCAATAACAATAGCAAGCAGAATCTTCGATAACTTTCATGAACTCCGATTCAGAACCGCACAGCATTCTGGGGGATGTAGGCAGAGGAAAAGCGATCAACGTCTCAAGGCTAGCTAAGCTAGGCGAGTAGCAACAGCTAACACTCACGCGCTCTCTGGTTACCTAGCAGCTACCTGTTAGCTGGCAGCAGCAGTTTCACCACCATGTCTGGTAACTACTTAATAATAACAATAATAAATATTAATAAACAACAATGGTGTGGAATGAAAACTGCGGCTAAAAAGTCACCAGTTTGACAGTATTTCAGATATTTGAAACAAAAACTAAATCAGTATTAACTGATGTGAAACCCTTACATCAGGATCCAGATGTCAGCCATATTGTCCAGCTTGACTTAGATATGCAGCTAATCACTGAACTCTCATCCTCCACACAGCTGATTGTTAAATGCTGTGTATACAGCAACCATTCATCCATTCACTATCAGTATGTGAATGGATGAATGATTGCATGTGATGTAAAGGGTCCTCTGGAGCTGTATTTATCATTTAGTTGCAGTGGCTCAAAAATATTATTTGCACATGGAAACAGAAGCGTTTCTTGTTAGAAAAAGGTTTTAATCATTCTTACAGAGAAACTGTGGACAACATTCATAATAGTATAATGACAAACACATGGTTTTGTTTCTACATAAACTGCTTGTTTACACTGTATACATTTCATATGAAAATTAAAGATTCAGGCATCAGTTGTGTTACGAAGACTTAATTATCTCTCCCAACCGTAAACTAATCTTGTCTCAGTTCGACCATCTATCACAGGAAGTCTCAGACCAGAGCGCTCATCTTTCTAATCCAGACAGTCCTGTTATAACTCAGACTGGGGTTCCATCTTTAGGAGGAGAGGAGCCGGTCTTCTCCTCTTTTCCTGGTTCGGTTAAACCATCCTCTGTTTTTTTAGACTCTGTTTCTGCAGCATCTGAGTTCCCACGTTTGGCCTCTGCTGATTCCGGTTGTGTGTTTATTTCAAAGACTGGAGCGATGACCTCCTGAGCGTGAGGCGTCTCCTTCAGAGGGAGAGTGAAACCCATCTTCCCTATGGCAGCTCCGGCCCCAGCAGGCGGAGGCGTGAGGCTCTTCGCTGCCTCCTCCTCGGCACGGAGCCAGTCCATCTTCTGATGGTGCTGCTTGATGGCGTCGTCCACCCGAGCGTCGATCATGGCTTCCGTCAAGACGCCGTCCTCAGAGGAGTACGCTGCAGCCTGGAGAGGAAAGAAATGATTATTTTCTTCAGATGTTGTACTTTGAAGAAAAATGATCCACAATGGTTGAGGGAAGCGTACCTGCCAGGCCACACCCAGCTTGGAGATCTCTCTTCCTGACATGCCCTCTGTCCTCTTGGCGATCTCTGAACACTTTTTGCCATAATCAAACTGGGCGAGCTTCAGCCTCCTTCACAGAAACACAAAGCACGCACTGATTAGGGACGCAAGTTATCCATTAATTAGTCCATTGAAGGTTGACTGAACTTATCGACTAACCATTAATTAATTAATTAAGCAGCCATTTTCTGTTTTATCAAGAGGTTCCACTGACTTTCCACAACATAAAGGGCTACGGCTGAATGAGCGATGTTAAGGTAATAACTTTTGGAGCAAATCCAGTGTTTAATCTTCAACACATAACTGCAAAAGTGGCATTTGCATCCCACAACAGAATCTTTTTGGACAGTTCGTCCTTTTCTTTCTGAGACACTGCCGCCATCTTTGTTTTTGTGAGTTGCTTCACCTAATGGGGACCAGCGGCGCCCTCTGCTGGATGGCGGCCAAACTACAACTAAAAGAAGGTTGAAGCTGATGTTATTTGTGAATCTTTTGGAATTAGTTTTAATCTAATAAACCACTGATCGACTATTAATCGTAATCTCACTAATTGCCACTTAACTGCGCTGTTTAATGACGGTACTTACTGTCGCCCTCCAGTGGCCGGCTCCAGTACGTATTTGTCAAAGTACAATCGCACCAGTCGCTCCCTTTCCTCCAGACCCGGCAGAGCGAAATTCACTATCTCATCTATTCGGTCGTTGATGGCCCAGTCGAACTGCTCGGGTTGGTTACTGGCCAACACCAACATGAACCTACAGTACAGGAGAAATGAAACTTTAATCATGTTGGTAGAAGGTCAAAACCTGTGAGAGAAACAAATTTACTTGTTGCTCTGTTCTCCAGTGCGATATAGGAAGGCATTCAAAGTGGCCCTGAGGTCTTCACTGATCTTCTCCTACAAAGACAAGAGTAAAAGGTGATTAATTGTAACATCCTCTACATTACTGCCTCCTACTAACCACAGGAATCTCCCAACATTTAAGCTATGATATGAAATATCTTGCAAATGTATTCACACCCCTGTAAGTTGCTTACATTAACCCAAACCTCAATTTATTTTCAAGGGACTTTATGTAAATACACAACTATGAAACGATAATGTAGGGCTGGATCAGTAACAATATGTATATCGCAATAAATCATTATCAATACGTGCAATAGAATTTTCTATAATTTCCACTTACTCCAGAACCATAAAGAATTCTGGGAGTTGTAGGCAAAAAGAAAGCCTTTAGCCGCTCAACCTCTCAAAGCTAGCTTCACAATGTTGGTGGAATCAACTAACTCAGTCACTCTTTGGTTACCTAGCAACTCACTCACTCTTTGGTTACCTAGCAACAACCTGTTGAGGAAGTTGCGCAGCAGCAGTTTGAGGTTTTGCTTCAAACTGCACTAATTTTTTTAGCAGTGCTTCTGCCTGCTTAAAAATTTAAAAAACAACGCCGTGAAGTGAAAACTGGTGCCCAGTCTAGTCACACGACTAGACTGGGCATGTTTCAGATATTCAGAACAAATAAATAATCATTTATATTGACCGACATGAAACGCTCAAATCGTGATACATTTTCCTGCCATTTGGTCCAGTCTTAAAAATAATTAACTTTAGCTATGAATGAAAACCTGGAAAGTGTGCCATGGATTTTTGATGCATTTATATTATTATATAAAAAAGTTAAGGGGTTAAATAAAATCTACAGAATGTGCCATTTTTCTTGTGAGATTAATCATCAGAATACAAAACAAAAATCCCAATTATCATGCCAGCGTTGGTTGCTGTAAAATTACAAACTGTGGAAAAGTTGAAGCGATGGAAAAACTTACAGTGGCTCTTTTGCGAAGGAAAGCATCAGCTTCATCCACAAAAAGCAGCAGCCTGTCAAAGAAACGAGTGTTGGATTATTTTATTCTCTGGGAAATTAAACCCCTGAACAACATTGTAATAATCTGTATTTCTTTAGCAGCGTACCCCCGTCTGCTTGTGTTGGCCCAGTCGAAAACTTTATGCATAGCGGTCACACCGTCCCGACCCATGGGTGCTACATCACCACCGGTCATGATAGCGTAGTCCATCCCAGAATGCATTGCCAGCTTCTACTCCACACACACAACAGCTGATCTTAAGTACACATGTTTGAGCTCCAGGTTTTCCACTCTCAAGTGCCAGCTGTACCTTAGCAAACAGGGTTTTCCCCGTGCCAGGAGGGCCGTACATGAGGATGTTCCTGTAGAGGCCATTGTTCTGCCTCGTGTTTCTCGTTGCGATGGCGACGTCACGCACACGTTCCTCCAAGGTAGGCTGGCGGAGGGAAAGATCCAACCGTTACAAAAGCTTTCAACATTTTAAATCAGCAGCATTTACTCATGAAATCCACTTACGTTGAGCACAACTCCCTCAAGCGCATCCTGAGGTTTGCTTTTCAGGCGCTTTGCTGTCTAAACATCAATAGATTCAGGATTTTCTTTTAATCTGATGAGAGGTGATTCACAAAGTTAAGGTAAACGATGCTGGGTTAATTTCATCACCTTGACTGGATGCTTGATGGCCTCTCCCACGGTGAACCGGGACGTCTCACGCACCAGAGACGGTTTTCCAAGCCTGGCCTCAATGTAGCGTCCTGCTACTGCTGTTGCATTACGCGCTGAATACACTCCTACAGCTAACAGGGTCAGGCCTGCCACCTAGTGGAGGAAAGGGAGAGGTCACTCAGGAAAACACACATGAGAAAAAAAAACAGTAACTTGGGCTGGATGGTGGGGCTTAAAAATAAAAATATATACAAGTCATTCATATCAGATCCAGTTTTAATCTATTTTCCTACTTTCTTTAATAACAAAAGAAGTTAATGTCAGAAAATATTTTCAAAAAGTGGCTTTTATTTCAATCATCCCCTCTGTGATTTTGCTGTATAAACGTCAGACTGTGAGGATTTGTGTTTAATTTACAGTCATAAAATTAGCAGAATAAAGATGCAATTTCACCAGAAGGACGTCTTAAAATTACCAGAAAAGAGACATTTTATTGCAAGTTTTATTAAGTTTTTTGTGTTTTATCCAGTTTTCACTCCATGCTATTTATTTTTTTTAAACAGTTGTGAGGCAAAGTAGCAAAACATTAAACTGCCACTGGTAAAGTTACTCAAGCTGTTTCTAAGTAACCAAAGAGCTGGTTAGTTGGTTCCAGTTAACTGTGAGAGGTTAAATAGCTAAATGCTGTTTTGGATCAGAGTTCAATAAATAATGTATATATTTAATATTGCATCAGATGTTGAAATATGTGTACCGTTGCAGTAACTTTGTCCCAGTCAGACACAAAGGCCCTGAATCCTTCTCCAAACACGGCGCCAGCAGTTCTAAATGTAAACACACACCAGCGGTCAGAACACCTGAACAAGGTCCGCCTGTCTGCTCCCCAGTTCCTGACTAAAACTCACTTTATGGACTCCAGGACGGTCTGCCGGTGCTCGGCCGCCTTCAGTCGGATCTGCTCTCGGATTATGTCTGCGTTCTCCCTCTCCACGCGCGCTCGGGCTTTCGCCTCCGCCTCTATGCGCATGAGCTCGTTCTTGTGTCTCAGCTCCATCTCGTGCTCGATTGTTGCTGTACAAACGGCGGCACAGCGACCCGATCAACTTGAGCTCGGCAGGTTTTAAGAGATCGGAGCAGTGAGGATCCTACCTTTCCTCATGGCTTCCTGTTTCTGCACAGATTCCTCCTGCTTGCGAAGGTTTTCCTCATTCAGGATTTGCTGTAAGGTGGAAAATTAGATGGGTCAGATGTTTAGGCGTCTCGCTCCAAAGTGTTTTTATCTGAGCTCGCATATGAGGGCCTCACCTGTTGCCTCAGCTGCTCCTCGTATCGCTGCCTAGCCAGCTTATCCTGGTACTGAGCTCGCTATTGAAAAGACAGAAAACAAAATGGTAGCCAAATGTCTTCAACCTCCTGATTGCAGCAAGGTGAAAAAATACACAGTTCTCACCGCCTGATGCTGCTTCGTCTCTTCATTCAGAGTCTTCCTCCTCTCCTCTGCCTGGATGCGTATCTGGTCACCTTTGAGCTGCTCGACTGCTGCTTCATACTCCTGTTAAAGTCAAAACCCAAAGAAAATCTTCAGAAACACACAATTAGAGTCAAGAATTTGGCTTTTCTATGTTACTTTCAAGATAGGAAAGACACATTTTTCACACCTTCCTTGTCAGATTTTTAGGCATCATATATATCTTAATAATACAGCTCTTAGAAAGACTGCACTTTGGAGGGAAAAAAGGAAAAAGCCTCAGAAAATCAAAAATGTTCGACCTTTGGAAGTTTTCTACAATTTTTGAGAAAATGTCTGAGTTTAATGTCAAAATTTCTGAATATTTTATAGATAATTTTAGACTTTTCAAACTCAAATTATTTTGTCTAGCAAATTTATAAAATAAATGTAAATCTTTTAAAGGACATTTCCCACTTTTGAAACTCACAAATGTCCTTTTTCTAGAGCATTTATGAGATTAATCTCAGAGTTTGTCTGCAGCAATGTACTCCTCCAAATAAAAAGAAAGGCTGCCATACAAATCAGCTTTTTTTTTACAAATATTTGATGGAATTTATGAGGTTCCACACAGGATCGAGTTGGTTTGTTTAGCTTTTCTTCTTAATAAATGAAACTGTCGTTTAAAACAACTTTCAGATTTATATTTTTATCTAATATTAAAATTTGTTTGATGATCTGAAACTTCTGAATGTGACAATAAATCAAAAAGCAAAGGAAATTTGCAAACAAAATTATCTTATAATATTATTGCTCTTAAAAGATGACGCGTCTTTGTACCTTCATTTTACTCTGGTGCTCCATCTGAGTGCTCTGCTCCTGCATCCGAGCCAAATCCAGCGCTTCTTTGGCATGACCTGGCAGAGGAAAACAGCAAAGAGTTGCTCTAAATTCAGAGGATGTCTTACTATGAACACAAATATTATCTGCACAGTGCCATCGCTAATTATCGTAGCTTAATAGATCAATTGTAAAGCAAACTAATGCACAGACGTTCATTGCAAATACATAACTCGGGGCAAATGAACCCGTTTAATATTTTCAAAATGTGGTATTGAAATATACCAGGACCCATTATCATTCAACCATGTTTCATATCCAAGTATAAAAATCTATGAAAATAAAAACTTTACCTCTGTAACACCCAAACAGCAGATTTACTGATGGCTTAATGTAGGACTAACGGTGGCTTTCTGCATATTTGAACTTAAAAAAGAGAATCCAACACTAAAAATACATGCCTGGAATCACTAAGGTTTACTTCATACCAGGTCATTTTCCTCATTCACACCTAGAAAATGATAAAAAATTCAATATTTCTTCCATCTTACTTGAGAAACTTCTTGAATGAAAACTTTTGCCTTGAGTAAAAATAAGTTGAAGTAGTGCTACTCTTACTGGCGTACAACTTTAAGTGCTCTAATCGCATTTACTTGTATTTATGATTGGAGTATAAAAGCATGCTACACTTAGCAGCTTTCTTATTATATTCTTCCACCTTACATAGTGTTATGGTCTGTTATATAAAGTACGTAGATGTTTTAGGGGTAAAGGTGCAGTAAGAAAGGTAATGCATTACTTCAAGGTACAACATCTGCAGCAACCTCTACTGCAAGGTTGTGACCTTTTCACTCTCACTGAATACACGTGGACGTATTTTAAGCTTATTTTTGTTAATTAATGTATAAATTCACTAATTAAACTAAGAACATGTTGATCTTTATTCACATTTTAATTCATTTTTATTGATGTAACCAGGTTAAAGCCCCATAGACATCAAGATCTCATCTGCAGCACAAATTAAAATTATTACACAGAACAAAGATACTTAAAAATAATTCAAATAAATTTAAAACAGACAACAAAGGCATGTTGTTCTGATCCAGACCGTTGCATTACTTGGGTTGAACAGCGGAATGGATCAGGATGCACATGAGCATATATATACATATTTCACATTTTCGCTTTATTATAGATGTAATAAATCCACACGGCTCTGTGCCGACCCACCCCGAACCTCTCGGAACACTCACGGGACTTGTCGAGCTCCTTGGCCGCCTGGGCAGCCCGCTCCAGCCCGGTGGGATCGAAGTTGCTCCATTTGTCCTTGGGTTTATCTCCACCGCCGCCGGAGCCTCCAGTCGGCGGAGGAGGAGGCGGTGGCTGGGCCGGTAGACCGGGGGGAGGTTCGGGCTGGCCCCGGTTCAGTCCGAACAACCACGACATGGTACCGAGAGAGAATTAAAGCACAGTTTCTGCCGGTTTCGAGGAAGGATTACAGATCTGTCACCGCACCTCCTCCACACGCGTGACACGCTGAGACAGAGTGCGCATGTGCAGTGCGTAGCGGAGGTTCAGGGGAAGAACGGCAACCGCGATTGGCTCTCTGGGAGTATTCTATGTTTTAATTGGACAGAGCAAAGAGGGAGGTCCGCTCTACAACATGTACGGCACCCGCCGAGGGACATTACACTTTCTTCTGATTGCGTCAGGCTGTGCCATGCTTGGACAGTCAGTTATTACTCAGACAGACACACATTTAAATACAAAACTCCATATATACATATATATTTAATATATATTATTCTGTAGAAGCCTGGTGTTTAATATGCGAGTTTAGAAAAAAAATGTGTCTACAAAATACTACAGAAACAATATAAAAATAAATGTATGTCCACTGTTTTCTAATAAAGTACAAAAAATATTTAACTTGAGAGCAAATCAAAGAAAAATCTTACTTATGGTAAAGTTGTGAAACCAGAATACAAGGGGGGATTTGGAACTAAATTATCAATTAGATACTGATTTAGTATTTATAGGTGTATTTTAGATTGATCTCTCCCTTTAATGTCAAAATTTTTGACACATTCAAGCTTAAAATGATCAATATTCTTACACTAAATTCAATATTCAGACTATTCCACAGTTTGACTCCACTTACTGACAAAAGATTTTGTATATTTTAAAACTGATTTTCACCCCCACTTATAAATTTGCCTTAAACTTTTTTTTATGTTTTCTAGTAATAGTTTATTTTTGGCTTTCTAAATAATTAGAATTGTTTGTAGTTTCACTATGTCAATGAATTTTAATGATTTTTATCATATGTGGAGGGCTGTGTGACAGAAGTTTGCCAGGATAAAATGAGATTGGGTCAGGAGATATCTGCAAAATAGATAAATAAAGGAGCTGGAAGCTGACATTTCCACACATTTTCAACTACAAAATACATTTCAGACTCAAGCACAGACAACTCCAGAAGTCACTGATGATGGACAAATGATGGTTATCAGTCTGACGCAGGACATCCACAAAACATTATTACAAGCCAGTCTTGATTTAAAATAAGCAGCTCAATTTCATTATATATAAAAAGTTTAATGAATAAAACAGCTTTACATCTTCACCACAAGAAATAATATACACAGTGAAACAAAAAGTAGAATCAAATCAAAAGTTGTAGGTTGCAAATTCAAACCTAGTCTTGCCTGAGTGAAGATATTCTCCATTAAAGATGTTTTGGACACTTTTTTGTTGCATTGTTGTCATGTATTTTAAAGCAAACATTTCCATGTTGTTGGGACCCCAGCACTGAAAGACGTCCATGTTAACTTTGTTTCAAGAACAAACTTTTTACTTCATCCAGTGGCAAACATCACAAGTTCTTCAGGAATCCAAGGAAGATTATCAACAAGAGTGACATCTGACTGACACACACGAGACTGACTTTATCTTTCTGATGAAGCAGCACATGAGGAAATATGATTTTTAAGATATTTTACATCTGAAACATACAGATGAAATGTCAAAAGTAAAGTTGATGTCTCTGAACAACACAGATCCTTGAATCCATGACGGTAGTGAGTCTTTACTGCAGCATAACTCTGGAGAGGACACCTGGAGGCTCTTTGCCGTCTCCCAGCGCCGCTCGGAAACCTTCCTGCTGTCGAGCTCGAGCCAGCTTCGCCAGCGACAGGAAGGTCCGAGGCTCCGTGATGGCAATCTCGCTGATTACGCGACGGTTAAGCTGAACGCTGCACTGTATGGAGGAAGAAGGAGGAAAGAAGCATGAAGAGCTGGAAGCAGGAACCCCACAGCGGTTGGAGCTGGGTGGTGACACGATTCAACAAACCTTGTTGAGGTTGTGCATGAGGGCAGGATACTTCATGCTGTGCTCTCGTGTTGCGGCTGCAATGCGTGTGATCCACAGCTGGCAATAGAAAGCAACACAGGGGAATACATTGATATAGCATCTGCACAAAGCTACAGAAAACCCAGAAAATTTTGAATAACCACAAAATATAATACAATACAATCACTGGGATTTAGAGCTAAATTAATTGCACCACTCAAAGAAAAAATAAACTTTCATATTTGTTCTAAATTTAAGTTGATGGAATCACAAGTGTAAGACTCAAGCTGATGGACTTCCATTAATACCAATTACAGCAGGTGACGATTGACAGATTTAAATGTAGAATCTGAAGCATTTGAGTTATGAGGAGATTAACTTTATGTACATGCTTTCTTTTCTCCATTAAAGATGTGTTAACCCTTATTTGGGTTTATTTCTCCTCTAGCAGTCATATTCTGCTTGTATCACCTCAGATGGTTGAGTTTTGCTGCTGCAGAGACTCTGGATGCTGCATAAACTCATTCTACTTCAGAAAACCTAAACCACTTCTCATTTCTGACTATGAAGCAATTACATTTTTGCCCTTGTTTGTTTCTTACAGTGTTGACTAGAATGAGTAAGGGTACAGTGTACAAGGCTTGTTACAAATCTGTCTGGAGGTGGAAGCAAAGCTGAGGCAGCAAGTCTGCAAGAAATATATTTCAGAATTTGAAGTCATCTGAAAGGACTGCATTCACAAGATTATGTTATTTTTATTATAAATCATTGCTGGATATGTAAGAAAGAAATATATTCATCCCAGGAGAAAAATTTAATACCAATGAGCATACTGTGCTCTGATTGGCTGGATTTTGCCTTTTGTGATGTCACCAAAAGGATGTGAAGTCAGCTTTGGGAAGGCCATTTTAACTCAATTAAGAAACATTGTACAAAAAACATAGAAAGATAAACAAAATATGTAGTTTTGTGTGTGACAAGCAACATTCTACAGCCATTTGATTTAATACAAAAACTGCATGGCAGCTTTAAATTTCAGATTTGACCTTGGGTTGCAAAAAGCCAGTATATCGATGTGATGTTTGTTGAGCAGAGGTTGGTGTCAGGTGGTGTCAGGCTCTCACCGTCCTCATGTTGCGCTTCTTAAGCTTTCGACTTTTGGTGGCGTAGACGAAAGCCCTCCTGACGGACAGCACGGCCAGTTTGTAGCAGCGGTTCTTCCTCCCTCTGAAGTGCTGGTGGACGAACAGCGAGAAAGGCATTTATCTCTGCTCAATAAGAACGGTTAACGGAGAGTAAATCTGCACGTTTTTATACGTAATTGATGAAAGGACTGGAGATTTTAGGAACCCTGGGGTCATCGCTCCAGGACATAGACGTAGCCTTACCCGCGCATGTTTAAGCAGCTCCTGTACTTTCCAGAACCTGTCGGGTCCACGGTTGCGGATCCAGCAAGATAACGTTAAAAATACCATTATACTCTCCCGTCACCCCTGTCCAGTTCGTTCTCTTTTGTTAGAAAACAAAATGACCTTAACTTCGCACCACCTGGGCACAGACTGTGTTAAGTTATCAGACGCCGCACTACGACTGGATCGCGCTTGAAGAGGTACGTTTGTTTTCTAACAGCCAAAGCAGAGGAAGGAGAGTCAGTGATATGAAAGTGTTCTAATAGTGATACATTTATTTTAAAATCATACGCAGTACGGAATGAAAACTTTTAAAAATGTAATCTAACAAAGATCACTTTAAATAATAGGAATTAAATGTTCTTGTGAACCAAGCGACCAGGCTGAACTGAAATCGGGACACAACGGCCAACAAAACCAGCGCCCCAGCAAAGGTTCTGGCGCAGCCGCAGTGGAAGCTTCTAACAGCCGATGGAGGTCATTGGAGAGAAGAGAAACTTGAATCCGTAAAAATGTCTGCTGCTGCCTTTACGTCCTTGAGCCGCTGCAGCGTTCTGGCTTTCCGCCCTCCTGCCGGACTGCTGGTAAGCTGTCAACCGGTGGATGGAACATACTTTCAGTCATCATTGTGGGAAGCCATCACTTTGTTTAGCTAATTTTGAGCTGAAGCGCCGCCGCTTTTCCAACTGCTAAGGCTCCGTCTATGTTCTGGTTTCTAGTTCACACACTGGTTGGTTTAGCTGTTAGCCATATTATTTTGAGATCTTTTAATTCCTTTAAATCGAAATGTTGCAGCTTGAGTTTGTTTTACAAATCAGACGACGACTATCTAACTTCTAATGTGAAACCACGACGACTCAAAGAGTGTTAAGGAATAAGACAGACACTTTTTCCGCATTTTTAGCCTGTTAGCTTTTGGGTAATAAAGCTTCGTCACAATAAACCGTACACTTTTTTCATATTCAGGTTGCAATTTTGGTTAATTTATATATATTAACCGTAATAATATGGAACAAATGACAGTTCAATGCATTTTCAAAACACAACTCCAAACCATTTCTTGAAAATGTAATCAAATCAATATAATACAGTACAATCATACAATTCAGTTACAATTATTATTTCACTCCTAGCCGAATCATCCATAAAAATTCAGTTAATAAAGGAGAGGTGGTGGAAAGTTGACTTTGCAGAAAGCATGTGGTGTCAGTGGGAAGGAACAACTAGTTGTTGTTCGGAAGAGAAAACGATTAACGCATATAAGCTGAGTCGTGCTCTCTGGGCTGACAGAGTACATATAACTAATAGTAGGTCCTTCATAGATTTGTCCAGTTAGAAAAACATGTTTTAAAACAATTTCTCTTTGTGTGCTTGTGTCCAGGCAGCGCGGTATGCCCAGGCAGCTACAGCTGCAGCTGTTCAGCCCAGAATAAAGAAGTTCCAGGTGTACAGATGGGATCCAGACACACCTGGAGACAAACCCCGCATGCAGACGTATGAGATCGACCTCAACACGTAAGACTGTCTGCGTTTTCCTCTGATCTAAGGAAACATAGTAGATTACGCTGTATGGGGGGCTATGTGATTATTTATTGATGCAAATATGAACAGACTGATAATTCTTTAAAACAAAATAGTTTTGATGGGCACACTGCACCTCTCCCCCCTTCAAAATGAAGGTGTTCAGATAGCCTGACCTGGACCGCTCCAGTGATAGCCGTCTTATCTAAGCAGTCTAAATAGGACATTTTACAACATTTAATATGCAAGTTTTAAACATCTTCCTTTTAAAATTTCTCTAAATTTCCTACAGAATTTTAATATTAACACAGAACTCTCGATTACCTTCATTTTTATCTGATTGAATCTGTTGAAAATATATGTTTTATCTGAGAATGTCACCTGAGCAGCTTATTTTTTGATTAACACAATCCCGAGCTTGTTTCAGTGCTCCTCTTTTACTTTTTAATCTAATATCTAATTGACTCTCATGTCTTTGTTGTCAAGACAGTAGCAATAGAAACAGCCCGGTCTCTTGACTTTCTGAGTTTGCATTTCTGTACCCAGTTGCGGGCCGATGGTCCTCGACGCCCTCATCAAGATAAAAAATGAGATGGATTCAACTCTGACCTTTCGCCGTTCATGTCGAGAAGGTAAAACAAAAGTTGTTTCAGAAAATCCTTTTATTGCATCGTTTTTATCCTCAGAATTTGTCAGAAATCAATTTTAATCCTTTTTTATTGTTTGTTTTGTGGGAATCAGGTATTTGTGGATCCTGTGCGATGAACATAAACGGAGGAAACACACTCGCCTGTCTCAACAAGATTGACTCCAACCTCAGCAAGCCCACCAAGATTTACCCACTTCCACACATGTATGTGGTCAAGGACCTGGTACCTGTGAGTAAAAAGACCTGCACTTTGAGACCCATTCACCATGATCAACTATAAAGCGTTTATTCTACGGTAGTCAAGACACTGAAACAAATTTTGCTGGACGATAAATTGTCCAGAAATTATTGCGATAAACGATAATATTGTTGCTTTTAGGCGGTCTTCAAGTATTCTAATGGTTATGCAAGAACACATTCTCAAATATCAATAAACTTTAAATTCTAATGAACATTTAACAATATCCAAAATGATCTCAGAAACAACATTTCATCATCCAGTTTTTGTTGAGAGAAAAAAAAAATTGTTAAATCATACAAATGAAAATGATTGAGCTCTGTTTAATTTATTATGTAATCATGAAAATTTTGATTGGCTTTTACTGACACGGTTTCAATAAGTTGCATAAACTGGACTTATTTAGAAACGTTTTTACACCATCATCTGTTTCTGTCCTGCTTGCAGGACATGAGTAACTTCTACGCCCAGTACAAGTCCATCGAGCCGTACCTGAAGAAGAAGGACGACTCAAAGGAGGGGAAGGTGCAGTACCTGCAGTCTGTGGAGGACAGACAGAAGCTGGTGAAGCTCCATCTTCTCTTTGGGAAAACAGAGCGAGTTTCCAGAGCTGGCAGGGATCTGAATCTGTCTGTCTGCTGTGTGTAGGACGGCCTGTATGAATGCATCCTGTGCGCCTGCTGCAGCACCAGCTGTCCCAGCTACTGGTGGAACGGAGACAAATACCTCGGGCCGGCTGTCCTCATGCAGGTGTGTGTTCCGGGTCGGCCTATTGTAATCTCAGGCAGTTCATAAACCTTGTGTATCGTTCCGTCCCAGGCGTACCGCTGGATGATCGACTCACGAGACGAGTTCACAGAGGAGCGTCTGTCCAAGCTGCAGGATCCGTTCTCCCTCTACCGCTGCCACACCATCATGAACTGCACCAGGACCTGCCCAAAGGTCTGTTAGCAGGCTGAGTTTAAGCTGCCATGCTTTTATTAAATCAGTTTCATGTTCAAAGTGCATTGTGAAGCCTAACATATTTAGTCACAGTTAGAATTAATTCTTAATAAATTAAATGTAAATCATCTGCATTGAAATGGGAGAAATGATGATTAGATTTTTAGATGTAATCCAGGTGCATTATTTCTATAGAAACCACATTTTATGCATTATTTATCTATCAATTTATTTTATCTACAACTTCTTTCCTTCCTTCGTCTTGACTTGTTGCATTATAGTTTATTTTATTGTGATCCTGTAAAGAGCTATTAAATATTAGAATATGTCTTTTGTACTATTGTCCTTTTTCACACTCTCTGTTTGTTCTTCATGAACTGTGGATCTTGTTCTCCATGGATATTTGACGGATGTTCCCTCCGTTTTCATTTTCAGGGCCTGAACCCAGGGAAAGCCATCGCTGAGATCAAGAAGATGATGGCCACATACAAGGAGAAGAAAGCAGCAGCTGTTTGAAGACTCTGCTCCCGTTTTCTACAACTTGATTGATAAATTATTGATTATAAAATGCTCTTTGAGGTCTGACAGGCCTGAACACCAGTCATCTCAAACACCACACGATGTTTCTGTCCTAGAAATGTGTGTGTGTGTGGCTGGAGGACTTGGTGTTACACAAACGCACAAGTACAGTGTGAATGCTGGAGAGAGTGTGTGTCTGAGTCTTAGATGATTTTATCTCCAACTCTACTGTGTGGATGTTTGTGTAAATGGGAAACATTTTGCTTCACATTAAAGTGGAAAAACCAGCGCATTTTCTTATGCTTAGCCAAACTCCTTAGTTTTCTCCAATAATTTGCACTTGTAGGAAGACAAACAGTACATATGTTCCCTCCTTGCCTACAGCACTCTTTGTTTGTTTGATGGAAAATAAATAAGTGGCAGCAACTTGTTTTTTTTTGTGTGTGTGTTCTGTTCGAGCGAAATCATCTTCAGATACTCAAACCTTATTAGTTGAAATAATAAATATCGTAACTCACACTGATTCAAATTATGCAAGGCCTGATGGGAAAAGACAAAGAGTTTTATTGTCTCTTGAAACATTATTGCTGGTTATGTTGGAGGCTCTTAATTTTAATTTTTTTTTTTTTTTTTAAAGTACACGCATCTGTTTGCAGCCATTTTAACGAGTGAGTATAAACCGTGGATTGGGGGCGGGGCCAACAGAGGATTTATTGGATTTAAAGTGACAAGAGTCCCTAAAACAACTCAGCCTTAAAGGAGCTCAGAATAGGCAGAATTTGGCAAAAAAAAAAGGGGGGGAGGGGAGAGAAAGCTGTTTTATCTTTTTTTTAAAAGTGTTGCTACCACATGGGGGCGCTGCAGTCCCAGCAGCCCTCAGCTTCAATAATACTCCACACTTTAGGAACCACTTAAATAGTTCTAACTGCTCCCCCAGTCTCTAAAGAACAAAGTTTGAGTGGAGCAGATGTCAGAGTGTTTCGTGTTTATTGACGCACAGACTTACCAGTATCACCCAATGATGTGAATATTTCTAATGCCTGGGCATCGATCCGATTAGCACAGCTGATATTGGTGCATCCCTAATAGTTTTTATTTTTTAGTTACCAATGCAAGGATACCAGGTCAGCAGACGGATCGTTCATCGTACTTATTTAGAAGTCAAAATAAAACAAATTTCAACCAACATGGCTGCTGAACTTTCCTCTGTGGGACTTTGTGGCTCCAGAAGTTTTGCCTCCAGCTGCAAATTTCCCCCTCAACTCATATGTGATTCAATCAAAAATTTTTCCTTCCACCATATTTTCCAATAATTTGCTTTCTCTGTGAA